AATAATAATAATAATAATAATAATAATCTATCCCTGCCGAAACCAGGACACAGGCAAATGCTATTTTTTTTCCTTTCATTTCTGAGAGCCAATGGACTACCCTGAAAGCATTAGTCTGTGACAGCTCCTACAGCCCTGCAGAGACATTTGAATTCTTGACTGGTTTAACATTGTTGGTCATTGGCAATGGTACATTGCTGACCGTACTCAGAAGGCAATCTCCAAAACGGCTGACAGTTATAGGATTCCTATAGATGTGGAGTCAATCATTACTACTGCAGGTTAAGAAAAGGTTTTTAAAATAGCCCTGCTTGTGGTCCTGTGCCAGTCCAGTAGACAGGACAGATGATGCTTGATAATGGAAAAAAGCAAAACCAACCCAGCCAAAACAAGCCCTAGCACAAACACATATATCCAAGCTGAGTTTTCAGTTCAGGGTGAAATGTGTTTGTCTGTAATTTGATTTTTATGAGTTAACATCTGCTAAAGAAAGGCTTCACCATCTTGAAGGCTTCCCTGCAGTCCCAGAAAGCCAAGGGCAGATACCCCAGTGACTTTGTAAGGTATTGGCTGGTGTAGCAGTATCTCACTTTGCCTGGCCTGATAGCAGTAGGTCCTGCGTAGTGGAGGAAGGTCCCACAGACACTGTTGCATAGCTTGTTGACCGTAGTTAGCCAAGCTAACACGATTTCTTCTTCTGTTCAGTACAGGAGATACCTTTATGGGTGCTGTAACTTCCTTAATTGCTGGAGGGAACACCGTGGTCCAGTGTCTTAAGATAGCTTTGGGCAATGTCATGGTTTAAAAGGCAAGAAGCAGGAGTTAGGCTCCTGATGCAACATGTGGCACAGGCAGTGCCCTGATGCGGTGGGGGTTATTTCCTTGGCTCCAGAACCACCTGCCTCTACTTTAGGTTGTTATGGAACTGTTCCCTCACATTGCTAAGGCCTCTTGCAAGGAGTCTTTTGAAGGCGAGACTCCAGTTTCCCATTTGTGACTTTTTCCCCCACTATTTTACATCCCAGGTGTTTGCAGATGCATTTTTTTTAACATGGGTATAACAGCAGAGAGCTGCAATGTCCAAGAGCTCCCAGGTCACATTGGCTGCTGAGCCAAACTGGCTTCATCAGCAGCCCCGTGAGCATGGTCAGTGTGACTGCTCAGCACCCAGCATTTTTTAATTTCTTCATTAAGCAACTGAAGACAAGATGGGACTGCTGTTGTATTCATATTGCAGCTTTGCTAACGTGGGCTTTGCTATTTTTATTGAGTGGCAGTTTGGCTCCTCCTGCCTTATCTTGGGAAGGGGCAGAAGTGAAGGCTGCCTGCCACCTTTGCCTGTTACCGCTTGTCTCCCTCCCTGACCACTGCACAAGGATTCATAGTTGTAGCTATTTTGTTGTCCTTTGGAGAAGGCCACAAAGCTTGTCTAATGCTTCTCTCTTTTACCTTCCTGAGCCATTTATTTAAATATCCTTCATACATTGTGTGTTCAGTGCAGTTTTCTTCTAAAACCTATCCTAGACAATCCCCTTCAGCAATTTACTCCCATACAACAGATGATAGGGGGTTTGGTGGTAGATGACAGCATGGCTAAGGTAAAGCATTGGGTAGCACAGACTTCTCTTGAGCAGTGTCTACGGCTAGGGACAGACAGTAGTCTGTGGCAGAGAAATCGCACTCGGAGAGCAAACATCAGAAGAGACCTTTGCAACAGCCGCGTCTGCAATCTCGCATCGCTGGCACTTCCACAACACGATGAGCCTTGCTCATGTGCTCCCCAGCTGTCTCGGTACAAAACATCCTGTTCTTGAAGCTCGCCTGCTGCTGCTCAGCTGGGTGGCCGTGCCGTGCCCCCGCTGTGCCCAGGCGTGCTGTCGTGCTGCATGGACTTGAGCTGTGGTTTCCCCTGGGAGAGGCTGGTGCAGGCAAACGTTGCCCTGCTGCCAGGCGGCACGTGCCGCGCTGCCAGGCTGCTGCGGGGAAACTGCCGCTTCAAATTTTCTCCCTTCTTTCTGCATCTGGGGGGAAAATGCTTGTCTGGAAGATTTTAACCTCAGTGCTGACAGATTTTCATCCCCCCCACGGTTAATCCAGAGATCAGGTTGAATGTTGATGTGACTGCAAGTCGGGCAGGATTTTGGCTTGGAAATGAAACTTTTTGTTGTGGTTCTTGTTTCTGCGTGCAGCTGTGTGTGGAGCAGCCCAGACCTGCACAGAGGCCCTTTTTAGATGCCAGTTTGATTAATCCTCACCCACTGCCTGCTCCCCTGTGCCTTCACCAAAGGGCGACTTTTCTGATGCCAAGAACTTGTGCAGCAATATATCTGCGTTCACCACCCAAGGACTGTGAGGGCCTGTGCCAAATTTTTAATTGTATTTTTCTGGCAGATAGCCATAGCTTGGTCTTAAGAAAAAAGAAGTCAAATATGTCTAGCTCTCAACTCTGTGTCAGTCTGTTGTGGAGCAAAGCTGGGAAGTGCGGCTGAAGCTTACTTTGCTTAACTGGGGGGTGATGCCATTGAGCCATGGGGAGGAAGAAAGTAGCCAGGCTGCTGGGGTAGAGGGAGGGATGGGAGAAGCCAATAAACCAGCTCTAGTTTGCAGGAGGAGTTGAAGAGACCCTGGGGGTGGAATAGCTGCCTTGGACCCACTGCTCCTGCCATATGTGGCTGAGCTGGGAGGATGGTCCTTTTGCAGGTGGGAAGCATTCAGGCCAAGCCCTGTTACTTCTGGCTTGTGCTGAATGATGGAGGCACTCCTGTCAGACAAAACCACAACTTTTTGACCACTTGCGAACATGTCTGGCTGGACAGCCGAGCGTGAGACAAGTTTCACTGCATTACCCTTTTTGGAGAAATGGAGGCCCTGAGTTGTGCTGGGGAGTGCCAGCAGCTGCCATAAAGCATCACAAGGCCTGGCAAAACTCATTGCATGGCGTAAGCATGATGGAGACAGGATTATCAGCACACACATTGTCCCAAAGGCAAATCATGTACCGTCTTCTCTGGGTGATTTATTAGCTATTTTACAAGTCCATTTTAGATGGAGCCTCTACGGTCTTGTCTCCACTTGAGGGGAGGAGGGTTTATCTATCACCCTGAATTTCCTGCAGCATGTGGAACCTGTTTAGGAGCCATCTGCCTTGGATGCCTGGCCTGTGGCACCTCCAACACAAACATAAACCCTCATTAATTCCTTGCTTACACTAATATGTTGCACCAACACAGTATTTCAGGCAGGTTGATTGGCTGGTTCAGTAACTCTTCAACAGCCTCCATAAACAAGCACTTTTTCTCAGAATTTTATTTAGGAACAGCTTGGGGCATGTACGAGCTAGTGCCTTCCTTGACAAAAGGCAATTGGTTCTCCCACAGGAGCATGTTTGCTCCTGCAGGAGAGCAGAGTTGGAGGTGAAGTGCTTTGCGCTCGCCTACACTCACACGAGTGTACCAGTTAGGGCTGTCCCAGCCAGCCCTAGTATTTTAGCAACCCTGTGGAGTGAAAAGCGCCCACTGGCTGGCCCTTTTACGTCTCATCTGTCTCCTCCTCTCTCACCTCTGCGAGCCACCCAGGAGGGATGCAGAGCTGAGTGGCCACTGGGGCCTTTGCTTTGTGGCCAGGTGAGGTACCACGCCAGGGCTGGTCGTTGTGAAGGCCCCTGTGTCCACCCAGGAAAGGGAAGATATAAGTGGTGAATTTGGGTACCGAACAGCTGAATCCTCCCTATTACACACACATCTGCCCCCCTGCCTAAAAATTCCCTCTTTTATATCAGTTTCAGTGTGTACACATTCAGAAGGCTTGATGTTGCACCATCTGAGCAAAGGTGGGAACATGCAAGCAAGCCCAGGAAGATGGTGGCTTTGCAGTCAGCTCATGCGGGTTCATGGCCAGGAATTGCCCAGTACTGCTGCGTTCCTCCTTGGTTCAGAAAAAGCTGCTGGATCATTGAATTCAGGCAAAAATTGGCTGCCTCTGGCTAGGATCTGTGCACACATCAGCTTCTCCTTATGGTCTACTCGTTTTGGTTAAGCACAATGATAAGTTTTCTGTAGGCTCAGCGTGATGGGGAATTGTGTTTGTTCCCCATTGCTCCATAGATGAGAGCCTGTGGCACATATATATACTCAGACTGCACAGAGGATCGTCAGTGCCTTGCAAAGAGCCACATATTCTGGGGAATGAGAATTCATGGGCTTGCAGTGGCACCATAATACATGGCAACAAAGCCACATAAATATTTATTGGCGCCCAACTGGGGGTAAGAGCTATTGTCACAGTAGGGCAGAACCAAGGCAGGATCCACGATGCAGAATGCCAGAAGCCAGGAGAAACAGCTCAGCCATGGATACGCAAAATGGTACTCGGCCAGCCAAGGCCGCCAGGAGGGATGAGTGGAGGACAATAGCCCAGCTTTTTTTGGCCAGTGCACACAGTTGTGCTCAAGTGTTGCTCAGTGGAATAGCTGGGGTATTATTTTTAAAACACTTTTCCTGGAAAGCAGCATTTTACAGCCCAATGGGCATGAGCCATATCCCCACAGCAGGTTGGTACATAGCCGGTGTCTGGAAGAGGCTGTATACTCATTTTTTGTGCAGGCTGGTTTAGGGGACTTGCGGAGAAGAGGAGCATTATTTGATACTCCACATTGTTTCCTGGGACCAGTGTGAGGCTTAGGAACAGTGAACCTTGTCCAACTTAGCATTTCAAAGCAACAAGCTTCTGATGTTTTTCTATACCTCAGGAGCAAGATGTCTCCCTCCACATGGCAGCTGGATTTTCTTCATCCCACTTGTGATGTAGATACAGACAACTGGCTCCAAAATGTTAAAGAAAATCACGGCACTGTCTTACAAATGTAGCTGTTCCTCTGTGGATGCAGCTTATTCTGGGGTAGAGGAGCTAGCTGTAAATTTTTTGTCTTGGTTATGTGCCTGCAGCAGTCAGAACAGGCCATCTGTGCTGCTGAGGAGCAGCATAGATGTTCCCCAGCTCATACCCCTTAGTGAATACTGGTTTGTACAGATGTGAATCATGAGCATCTCCTAGTGCTGCATAGCTGGGAGGCGCAAGAAGAGAGCATCCAGCAGGGACCCCTGGGCTCTTGGTGAGTCACCAATAACTAATTTGCGGATATAGCTTAGGAGCTGTTGTATGAAGCTTTTGGTCCTCTTTGTGTGCTACATCTTGTATTTTGCACATTGGGAACTTTTTGTCAGTCCTTACTACCCAGAGTTACTTCTTCAGGTCTGCCACTTCTCCTGTAACTGTGTTTCTTCATCAGCTAGCCTAACGTCTCAATACGTCTTACACCAATACCAAATCACAGCATGGTTGGAATACTTGTGTGATAGCATCATCTGTCACTGTTGAACAACAGCAAAAAGGAAATGAGCAATATTTCAAACTGGAGCAGAATGAGAACAGACAAAACAAGAAGGGATACTGTAAACCTATGAATCCCTAGCAGGGAGGTGGATATCCAAGCCCTGAGCCTCCAGAGAGCTGCATGTGCCAATACCATGTTCTGTTTGAAGATCACAGAATCACAGAATGGTTGAGGTTGGAAGGGACCTCTGGAGATCATCTGGTCCAAAATCTCTTGGTGAGAGCTGGGACACAACTTCCTCCTAGTCTGCCTAAGTCTTGGAGGGTTTAATTTGATTTGGTTGGATACAGATAATTTAATAAATGATACTTTCACTGTAATTCCACAAATAGAGAGATAGTGGCTTTACAGCAATTTGAACTAATTTTTAAAGACGCTAAGTAACTTAGTCATAGCAATTGAGAAAATGCCCTAAATTATACTCAGTTTAGAAATTCAAAACTTGGAAATACTGCCTTGTCATTGTATTCAAGATGTTTTCTGTACTGCATTTCAGCCCAGAGTAAATTAGCAGTGGAAGAAGAAAAGAAGTGGGAAGAAAAATGCAATAGAATTTGTAACAAAATGGTAAAACCCAGCTTAAAGCCATGACAATCACATACATTAGCAAAAAGGACCTTGTCACCTGCAGCAAGTACTTCCTTTTCCAACAGCATGGCACAGCCCCATCTCACATTCCATCTCTGAGAAACAGGTGCAAAGGAGATGGGTGGTTTGATGCAATTTATTCATGCAGCCAAGAAATAATGTTCCCTTCCCTGAGGTACAGGCAAGTCCAGTCATGGATTATGTGCTTGGCTTTCCTCAAGCCACAGCCTCCACTCGTGTTGGTACATGGTTTCCCAATACCAGCCTTGACTTTGTCTTCCAGGTGGCGAGTTGCTCCATCACCTCTTCCCAAGCCTCAGCCAGATGTCCAAACAGAGGGCAGCCCCCCAGCCTCACCCTCTGGTTGCCTCAGTTTTTCTTGGGAGACTTCTCCCAAGTATTTCCAGTGCCACACCATCCCAGCAGGATGTGCTGCCCAGCCCTTAAGCTGCGCAGGTACCTCTGTCTCAGCAAGTGGTGTCCCTCATGGGGCACTCATTTTGGTCGGAGCCAGCACAGGGCCTCCACTGAGCTGCAGCATTCAGTAATGGGCAAGGGCATGTTTGGAAATAACTCATTTGAAGTATACGTGTAGAAAAAGTGTAAAGGAATAAAGCGTTAATGATGAGAAGCCTGTAGCCCTTCTAGATATATGAGGTTATTCTTATACGAGGACTCTGTAACACTGTAAATTCCGGGGTTACGAGTGAGTAACTGAGACTGGAATCTGACCCCTTATGCCTGAGAAATTCCTTAATTGTTATTAGGATGGAAATAATACAAACCATTATTTTGAAATAATGCTGGCTGGGCTTGGGAAATTCACATTCAAATAGTAAGAAATGGTAATTTTAAGTTTACCAAGCAAACATAATCTTTCTGCACAAGTGCATATCTTATATTCAGTAAGGCAAGGTTCCTGGGGAAAATGACAAGTGTAATTAAAACCTTTCTCATCATGCATGCACACAGGGGAGGGCAAGCTGTGATTGTGATGATAACTGCTCCTAGCAGGTGTTTTTCTTTTAATATGGGGTATTAAATGAAACTTCCTGTGTTGTTTAACCCAAATACTCTCCTGTATGCTTCTAACAGTGCCTCTCTGATTTGTTGCAAACAAGGCTGAACTTGAACTGTATCTTTCAGCATAAACTTTTGTCTTCAGAGGTACAAAACTATTTACCTTAGCTGAGACTGTTACAGGGACCTGGAGCACTGCTGATGCTGCAAATTCTTTCGCACTTCGTAGCTCTGGAGGTGTTAGTTTTCTGTGCTGAAGATCTTGGGCTCATTACGGTATGGTGGGGATCCTCCACAACTGGTGGGGGAGAGGAGGAAACCCTGCCGGAAGCGCTGTCATCTGTTGCCTGCAACTGTGAGAGGATGAATGTGATCAACTACATTTTTAATAAAGAAGAGTCACAGAAGGGGAGGAGGCAGAGCTGCAGCCGGGCACCGTCTTTGGAGGTGGTTGGGGATAGTCTGAGCTTGATGTGTCACTTCAGAAGGGCAAGGTGCTAGGTCTGAAGGAGGGGGAAGCTTGGCTCCACTCTTCCCCCTACGATACTTGATAGTTCCCAGGCACCCCCAGTGCTGTGAGACTACGCGGGCTTTTCTGACTTTTATTTCAAGTTCATTTGTTATTTGCTGCCAGAATTCTCCCAAGGAATGTAGACAAGAGGTGGTAAATGGTGATTAATTTAGACAACCTAAGTAGAGGGCTCTTGATGGGCTCCCCATGTAATACAAGAAAGTTAACGGCTTGCTGATGTCCTTTTGTGAATGAATTGTGTAGCCTGGTTGTTTAATGGAGTGTTTAAAAATTGTGTTGGCAATAGCCTATGAATAATGTATACAGGAATAATGAAATACCTTACTGCTAAGAAACTGCTGATATGCTGGGGAACTTTCCATCAGATGTGAGAACAATTTTGAAAGCACTGTCTTCTTGGCATGCCCTTTATTTATGGTCTTGCTGCTTCAGAGATTGCATTCCCTTTTTAGATACTGCATGTGAAGATGCCTTCCACCACCTCTGCCTCTGTCTTACAGTTTCACCTGATTCCCTTTGCTTCTGTCTGTAAAAGCTCCTGAATTTTGATGAGTTTAGGCTTTATTAAATGAGCGCTGTAAGCACGGAGATATTTGCTGTGCAGCCTTCACCCATTCTAGGTATCTGCACCAAGGTACATTGCATCAAAGGAAGATGGATGCCGGTTTTGTGTCATGGCAATGTCCCATGATGCAGGAAGCAGAAATAGGGCCAAGTTAATTTGAAAAAAAGACCAATGTTTCTTTTGCAGGTTTTTGGAGCACGGGCTCCTTGCGTGAGATAAGCAACCCCAGAGTGTCACACACGGATGTTCAGATTTTGATGGATTTTGCAGTGTGAACCCAGCTCTGATGCCTCTAAATTTTCCCCTGCGTCCTCCTCCAGTGCATGAGGCCTCTGAGTGCTTTGGCCATGAGTAGTGGGAAGTCGTCGTGAAACTAAGCAACTAAATCTTGCTTGACCAAAGAGATTAGAAGATTGAGAGTGAATCCCTGCTTTGCAGGGGAGCTCTGGAGGTTGTACTGCCTTAGCTGCAGGAGGAAACAGGCCTCCTAAAAGGCCTCAGCACATAGCTCATCAACAGTGCAGGCATGACACAATCACAGTCTCTTCCTTTGCTCCCTGTTTTGGCCCTCAGCTGCACTCCAGGAGAAAATAAAATCATAGCTTTGTTTCTCATGCAGGGTTTTCCCCACCTGCACTAAAATGCAGACATATCACAGGAGGGCAGGTGAACGCAGTATGTATCTTATCACTGTCCAGAGTGGTCTCAGCTAAGTGTATGGTAAGAGCAGACCCAGCTTGTGGAGTGTGTAGCTATGTGCCCTGCCTCTGCTGTGGTTTTGTTATGAGTAGCCTAGTGCTCATGCTGCATTTTTGTGTCTGGCTTTACACAACAGAGCCCTGAGTCAAAATGTTTCCTGCAATATGGGCAGTATATTATTAGTGTAACGCTAGAACAAAGCAACATGTGATTGATGTCGATATTAGTCAGCTGAGGAAGTGACATCCTCACCTGGAAGGTTTATGTGATGGGTTTTGAAGTCATGTGGTGATGCCAAAAGCAAGCTCCAGGCATGAGGCTACAGGGCAGGAGAGAGAATGGGTTAGAAGAGAGGTTGTACCCTCAGGGTGATCTGCAACTGGCTAAGCAAGAGGATTTGCCAAAATGGAAGGGAAGATTTGCACTTTTTTTGGCTTGTTTGCCGCTGGGATATTCCTGGGGAGTGCAGTATTTTCGCAGCTACAGGAAAGAAGGTGTATAAAAGGGGTTATTCTAAACACAAGATAGATGGCAGGGACCACCAGAGGAGTTTGACTGATGGCCTAAATGTTTTCAGTAGAACAAATAAAGAGAAAAGGTATCTAAAACTTCCTCCATCTCCACCACCCAAAACCCATCCTGCCAGCCAAGAAGTGTTTTCAGCAGAGAGGGTCACAAAGGTCTAGGCTGAGGATCATGGTCAAGTTCAACCAGCCTTTCTCAGGGTAGAAATGCTGCTAGCTGACAGTGTACATCAAAGAGCAGCTTTCAAAAAGGAGACTGTTCTATTATGCAGTTTATTCCACTGATGCTTCTGATGATCCTATTAATTTCTCTTTTTTTTAATGTTTGTTTCTTTTAGGTGAAGAGTGAAGGCCCCAAACTGGTGCCCTTCTTTAAAGCCACTTGCGTCTATTTTGTCCTCTGGCTGCCAACTTCCAGCCCCTCCTGGTTCAGTGCCCTCATCAAATGTCTGCCCATCTTCTGCCTGTGGGTTTTCCTTCTGGCTCATGGAATTAACTTCTTAGTGTCACACCAGAGCGCCAGCCGCATCCTAGCAGGACTCATATTCTCAGCAGTGGGAGACGCCTTTCTCATCTGGCAGGAGCAGGGCTACTTCATTCATGGTGAGTGCGGTGTCAGTCTTAAAGGGATGCCACAGTGTCCAGCTGTTACCCTCTTTATTTAGTAATGAGTTGCTGGGCCACGTGTTTTGTTTATTCATGTACAGCTTAAGCCCCGGGCAGTGGGAAGCACTCATCCCTTGACTAAAATCCATCATGGTTAGAGGAGTCACACCATGGATGAGTCTTTTTCTTGAGCTTCTCTTGAGGTCAGAGAGATAACTGGGGCACGTTTGGTTCCCTGGCACGTGCTCACAGCATCTCAGCTGGCTGGAGCTGGGAAGGTGGCATGGGCAGAATCCCCGGGGAAGAGAAGGAAATGCTCATGGCACTCGGCAGCTCCCATGAAGCTAAGGGAAGTATCTACCTCCTATCTCTCTGCAGGGAGAGCTGTCAGCCCTTCACTACAAGGATCAGAAATAGGACGCATGGTGCAAAGGTCCTCAGTGGAGAACAGGTGGAGAGGACCCTTATGTTTTGATAGACAAGCCCGTAGCCTGGGCGAGGTGTTTAAGTGGATGCTAGAAACCAAAGCATCAGAAATCTTGTCCTACTTGCAGGTTCGTCAGTATGAATCATGCAGCCTGTTGTACAAGATATGTCTGTTTTGCAAAACATGTAAATAATGGGGAATCAAGGACAAACCTTACCACAATGGCCTGCCTTCTCTACAGAAAAATCCACATCTCTCAGAGCAAAATAAGCTTGTTTTATTTTGCTAGTTTGCAGACTAGAAGATAATGATTTAGATTAATCATTTAAAGCCACGTTGAACCTGCCTGCAGCAACACTCTCCCTGGCCTTGGACTGTCACAAGAAATCAGCAGCAGTTGAGTCCTTCACTAAACTGACTGGTGGGGTTTCTGAAGTTAATTTAACCAGCACAGGGATCTCACGTAACACCCACCATTAACTGGCTGCTGTGACTATCCCACTGGAAAATGTGATGAGATGAGGGAACTTTTCTGACTTGTGCTGTTGTCAGCTCTGAAAGTCAAAGGCTTATTTTTTCCCTCTCTCATGAGGTCAATTTAGTTTTATTCTGGGATTCCCACAAGCTCTTTCTTTATGAGAGGGAAGTGTGTGAAATGCCAGATATGAAAGGCCAAATGCTCTGAATCTGGTTTTAATCCTGCTTCCCAAGGGCTTATCCCAATCTCATTAAAAGTTCATGTAAAAATTTTTACTGATTTTGGTGGGGTTTAGATTAGGCCCTGAGGATTGGATCTATCTGGCTGAACCTTGGGCATGTTGCTGAGGAGCTCCAGCCTTGGAGCTGGGGTGCCATCATGTTTGTGCTGAGTGTTGGCATTACCACCTATGGGCCTCCTCCTAACAGGGGTACCCGGCTCAGCGCAGGTCACCTCAGCCTGACTGCTTGTGCTTCGTTTTTGCCTCTTGGAGTTGCTCCTTGAGCTGTAGCTTGAAAAACATTCAAGGCCTGATTCTCACCGTGACTGTTTTTGTACATGGACTGTTCTGAGCTTCTCCGTTCCCACGTAGCTGGGATATCTCTGAGTTTCCTCTCCAATTTAGCGCTAGAGGAAGGTCAACCAGTCACGGCAATTCAGTATCTGGTTAATGTGTTTTAATCTGCAAATAAGTTGGATTTTCGACCCTAGTCTCACAACTGAGAAGCGTTGCTCTGTGGGTTTAGACACATTTTTCTTCTTAAGGAGAAGAAAAGCTCTCTTGGAGCATTTTGAAAATCTCAGCCTTCATCCTGGCTGTCTCCTGCCTGCCTCAGTCCGTTCTAATCCCAGCTACCATCTTCCGTAGTGAAGTGTTAACATTTGCGTTTCAGCTGTTAGCAGATAAAGTGCACTACCCCACTTCATCCTTCACCTCTCCTGCAAAACGTATTTTCTCCTATTTAAAACTCAGCAGGCTGCTGTTGTTGACAACTGACAATATTCAACCTTTTGACATCATCGTTTGTGGGAATTTGAAATTTCAGGAGAATAAGAGGAAATACTAGGTAAAAATGTACTTTCTGTTTAATTTCTACGGCTTTCAGGCTGAAAAAAAAGGGTTGGGAACTGGGCTGATTTGAATAGCTTTTGAGACAATGAGTTTATAAAAGGACATTTGTTCATTACTTTATAGGGAAGTGAAAGCCTGGGAACCTACTCCTGGCACACTTGACTTTTTTCATTTTTGCTGTTTCAGTCCACTAATAACATGCTATTTTCTGACTAGTGTCTTACTGCATGTAGAAGATACTTTACAGTGTTAACATCCACCTCCCTTGATAGCAGGCACTTAGAAACAATTTATGCATTCGGTGAAGAAGACGGGGACTAACAAAAAGGTCTTATTGCCAGCCTGAGGGGAAACTCCAGGGGCAGGGAGGGGGAAGGAAGCGGACAGAGAGGAGAAGGGCTGATCTGCCTGATGTGGTTGGGAGGGCTGAGCCAAAGGCTGAGAAATGCAAGAGAAATGCACCCCACTCCCTGTGCAGCCGTCACAGGTTTCCCCAGTTCTTGGCTTGATTTGTGGGTGTTGAGTGAGCAAAACTGGGAGCTGACTCTCTTTTTTGTGACCAGCCTACCACATATCACAAAACTCCTCCTGCCTTTCTGGGCCCCTGCTTGGCTGCCACATCCTGTCCTCCTCTCCTCCTCCTCCTTGTTGCCAGCTGCCTGCATGAAGGACAGCACATTCTTCAGTTCCCCATCCCAGAACTCTCCATATAATGCCATTGAAGGAAAAAACACTCCTCCCTGCTAGGGCGAAGTAACCTTCTCCTTACCGACCCCAGGGCTCTAACCTTTCCTGCACTGTAACACCGTAAACAGCTCGTCCTAAATCCCTCCTCAGTTTCCTCAGTGCTGTGCCCATGACGTGTAATAGCTCTGTGAAACATCAACTTCTCGTTGCCCTCCTTTGCACTTCTCTTCCTTCCCCTTCATGCTGTCCATTTTCTCCAGCCTCACCTTGCAGACCAGATCCCCACCAGCCCCCTCCCTCCTGCGGGTTCCTTTCTCATCCCATCATGGCTGAGCTTTCAGTGGATGTCCGATCTGGTCTTCCTCAAAGGCAGGGAGACACTTCCCCTTCTTTGAGCTGCCTCAACACAAGAGTATTAGGATGACGAAATGTCTGCCAGCAGCAGGTTTTAGTGACTGCCCTTTACACCACAGCATGCTTTAAATGTAAACAAGTGTCCTGCTGGAGGACACAGCTTCCCAGATCCTTTTCTCCATTTCATGCTTTAGAGCTGCATGAAAGCTTCCAGTTACTCTAATAACCCTGCCAGGATAAAGTGGGACAGCCTGCAGCTGCACCATGTGTGGGTCTGGGAACCAGAGGACCAGAGGAGCTGGACTCAGTTTGGGGTCCATTATCTGCAATTGGCATGACAACTAGTAGTCAGCAGCTGTACCAACACATTGTGACATTTTTTGTCAAATGGATTAGTGGCAAGTGAATAACGTATGGGCAGTACCTTGTGACACCCACATCTGGCATTTCTCAGGGGTGTTGTACTTCAAAGGGAAGCCAGCATTTTATTTTCACTGATTGATTCCAGCTAAGGTTCATCTGAATCTTGCAAATAGCCATAAAATTGTTGGCAGATCACATTGGTGCAGTCCCTGAAATATGCCAGCTGCTTCTTTCCAGCTTAGGTTTCTCCTAGCTATGGGCAGAGATGGAGTAGAAGCCAGATTTAGTCCCTGAGTGCCTTTGGATTTCTGGCTAAATACGGTCAGGCTTTGTGTCTGGGTTTGGAGGGGTCGGTATCTTTTTTCACATTTTGTTCCTACACTGCTCTGATTCCAGCCTTCCTGTTCCACACGTGACCTATGAACAAAACACTTTGGACAGTTAGAAGGGATGATCTTTGGTCTGCCTTGCCCCCACCCTTCATCCAAAGCAGGGGAGGAGGAACCACCTGAAAAACAAGCTTTGTTCCTTCTGCAGCAGCTTAATTCACCTGGCCTCTCAGCAAAAAAGCTTGCATTACAACAGAGTTGTACTTGGCTGCAGTTGTAGATGTGCTGGGGCTTTTTCTTAGGGCGGGGGCTTGGTGCTAAGGCTGATCTCCAATGCACAGACTTTTATATTAAAATGGTCCCAAGTGGTCAGTATGGTTCCCACTGAAAGTGTTAAGGGTTGTAACACTGCAAGGACATCTAAGCCTGTGCTTGTTGCGGTACATTTAAAACCCAATATAGCCACATGTTTTCTTCTGCTACCAACTGCCAGTCACTGATGAAAGGTCACACTTGCTATGTCAATGCCTCTTTCCAGGTCTGCTGATGTTCGCCATTACACACATCCTGTACTCTTCAGCCTTTGGCATGAAGCCTATGGACCTCAAAGCCGGCTTATTGATGGGCCTTGTTTGCAGTTCCTGTTATGCCTTCCTGTACTCCTACCTCTCAGGCCCATTCACCTACCTGGTAGCTGTCTACATCGCCTTGATTGGCTTCATGGGTTGGCGAGCGGTCGCCGGCATGCAGCTGTGCAACGACCTCTGGACATGGACCAAGCTCTCGGCCTGCATCGGCGCGATGCTGTTCATGGTGTCGGATCTGACCATTGCACTTAACAAGTTCTGCTTTCCTGTGCCCTACTCGCGCTTCATCATCATGGCTACTTACTATGCAGCCCAAATGCTTATTGCACTGTCAGCTGTAGAGAGCAGAGATGAAGAGGACTTCAGAAAGAGGAGCTAGGTGGAGTGCCAATAGTCTGTGAACGACGTGGGTTATATCTCAGGTGCTGTAGCTGCATTCACCCCTGAGAGAGATCTCCATTTCTCTAGGCACATTGGTGATGTTGATTTTGCTTCTTTGAAGCATTACCTTTGGGGCTTTTTTTCCAATGGCTTTCTCTGAATACAGCTTACTTCAGTGTGGAGTCCACATCAGAAAGCTTAGACGGTCCCTGCAGTAGCTACTCATTCAACTTTTCCTCCTTGGAAGTGCTGTACTACTGCATTTTACTTGTTAGTCTTGAAACTGATGCTGAATGTCTGGGAAGAGGAGGGCTGATGGAAGGTTTGGCCGTGCACTGTGCTAGAAGACTTGCTTTCAATAGTAGACAGACAGGCACAGATCTCTGCTAAAGTTATAGGTAAAAATGAATTTAACTCATGTTTGTCTCTTTTTGTGCATTACAAACTCAGTACACAAACTGGAGCTATTGCCTTTGCTGAAAGGAAGCCTGGAGGTAGAGTAAAATCAGCATATCCAGATGAGGGCTGAGCTTTGGAGTCAACGACAGCATGTGGGGCAGCCCCCAGCAGAACCAGAAGAGCACAGAGGAAGAGGTACGCTGACATGCAGTGCTGTGTGCTTTGATCGCGGCTGATCACTGCTCCAGGGCAGGTCTGTAGGTGCCTGTCAGTGTTGCTGCGTGTGGCAGAACTAGGAGTTTGGTGGGACATCTAGGTAGCCAGGCCAGTGTGTTCTCCCCGGCCATGCGTACGCAGTTACACAGTGTCTGCAGCCACCAGTGACAGCTGAGATGTAATGGGCACGTGAGGAACTTTGATTTTTACAGCAGGACTTTGAGCATGTGTCTTACTAATGTATGTCCTAATTGTCCTTAGTACGGCAGACAGGAATCTAACCTTTATGCCTTTCTTCCCCGGTATCCTAACAAATAATACTCCATATACTCATTAAGCTTTACAGTACTGCTGCTTGCAGTATTTCTCAAATCTTTGTGTGAGCATTTCCCGTGGTCAAGGCCCTGATTTTGAATGTAGATTGTTGTTGTGTTTTGCCAGCTGGTGCTAAACGATCAGCTTTGCACCACTTGTTTTTGGAAACCCCCTTTTCAGCAGAGCTTCCTGAAAAGCACCGTCCTGTGTGTTCGAAGTGCCTGCTGCTTCCTTCTCGAACTCACGTGGACGCAGTGAGAATGTGAGAGCCATCAGGGCTGGGAAAGCCTGTTTAATTCTGATCCAAATTCTTTGGTTGGTTTGTCTGCCAATCTGCTGAAGCAAGATTACTTCTGACTTCGGACTCTTCAAAAGATATAGGAAGAGGTTGCCCTGATTTTTAATCCAAGTTAATTTGTGATCATAGGTATATTTTTTTTTCCTCTTATTTATGATATCTAACAGCAAGCTCTGATTCTGTTTGAAACTATCTTGAATGTGCTTTTTCCTTCTGTCTGTCCTAAGGCTGCTCCCATGGGCTGAGATGCTCCCCCAATGGCTTGTTTTAAGACACGCGTGCACTCAGTTGTGCAAAGGAAGCTTGCTAATGGTTTCTGCACCTCTTCAAACCTGCAGCCAAACAGGGACAACCAAAACAGACTGCACGACTCAAATCCATGCATGCCCCAACAGCCCCTTGCACACGCTCACATGGGCAGAGCGAACAGGAGGGGCAGCCCTCCAGACCACCCTCGTGGGCTGAAAATCACCACGGTCTCCATACCTAGTGCGCCCAGACCGTTCCAGGTGAAAGCCTGGCACTGAGTCCCTGGCACGGTCGGCAGAGAAGGAATTCCTCTATGCGAGGAGTGCGGCAGGGTCAAGGGGCAGCTGAGGCAACCCTACCAACCCTACTAGCTTTTCCCTTGGTGTTGAGAGGTGCTAAGTGGATCTCCTGCTCCTCCCCAGCCTCATGTGGTGGGACTGGGTGTGGAGTAGGCATTGCCTCCCCACGACTTCTGCATTAGTGCAAATGCAGCCAGTATTACAAAAATCTAGGTTAACCAACCTGACCCCATGGAGTCATCTGCTGCTTTTCAGAGAGAGATCAGAAAGGTCAGCTGCATTATTGAGAGGGAAAGCATTGTAAATAGCACAGCCCCGTGTAATCTCTTCCCTTTAATGCTGTTGTGTAATATTGTCAGTATTCATTCACTGGCATGCCGGGGCCTATCTGGAGTAAACTGCTAAGGGAATTTAGAGCCGTAAAACATCTTCATTCATCAGCATTGCTTATCTCCTGGCCGCAGCTTGAACCCTGCAGTGTAGCTCTCTGCGGATGTCACCTGCTGTTACTCAGCTTGACTGTTTGCAAATCTCTTCCTGCAACAGACTGACCCAGCTAAGAGGAAATCTAAGCATTTGGGGTGAACCCCGCTGTCCTCCCAGCATGTCAGCAAACAGCACATTTCAGTCTGATTTACAGCTCCTTGTCATGGGTCAGTCCAGCACACTCAGTCCTTAGCTGGCAGTTCTTCAGAGGAACCCCCGCACCCTGAGCTTCCCTATGCTTTGAGGAAAATGCATGTGTGATAAAGTAACCTTTACTTAAAAGTTAGAATTTTGATTTATCTCTTTCTTCCCCTCTAGAAATGAGTAGTCTTCAATTTCCTGAAGATGGCCAAGTTGCTCTTCTGCATGCTTTTTCATCTTTTAGTGTTATTAGTGATCTTTTAAGTGTTATTAGGAGGCCTGCCCTGTCCTCTCCACTGGCCATCAGAGGTGCAGTTTCTGGTGGCAGAGGTCTCTGGGTGGCTCTAGCTGGGACAGCAGAAACAGGTGCAGCCCAAGTGGGCTGTTGTTCCCTCGCTGTCCCCTCACCTGGAGTGGGCTGGCTGGGACACATCCTGGCCAGCCATGCTGGCTCTGTCCCAGTGCTGCAACGGCTTTAGCCTTCCCAGGAACATGAGGCAGAGCCCTCAGCATACAAAGTCATGGAGAGTCCTGGCTGGCTCAGAGGTTTGCTCAGTGAAGGCTCTCAATCTTCAAAATCTCTCTTCTGCTCTGCATTCCTCTTTTTAATCCGTATTACTTGAATGAGACCATTTTCCTGGAGGCTCTTTCCTGCTGGGAAGAGACCAGCTGCTGTGGACACTGATCTGACACAATTCGAGTTTCATAAACCCTGAGAAACACTAAGCAGTTGCTGACAGTCTGTTAAATACCTTTTCTCGGGATTAAAACTGTTCCCTCAGCCCCAGCAAGGGCAATCTTCACTTTGAAAGGGAGCAAACAAGAAGTGGGAACGACGTGACTGTCTGTGGCACTGCCTTTGTGGACCTTCCTGTTGTCTCTTTGCACTGTAAAACTGCGAGGTTTGATCCATTCTTCTCCTTTTCAGGGGTACAGTCTTTGAGAAGCACGCAGTCTTTCGCCCAGGGACATTACAGAGTGAATGAAGCACCCCAGTGGTGTAGTGTGCCTGGCCCCAGCAGTATCAGCTCCTTTGCTTGCTAAGTACAGAGGCTTTCTTTTCACACTGCTGTATTCAAACGCCCCTCTGCAATTCCCATCTATGGTCACTTGAGGTTACACACATGGTCCGATTACTTTTGCTCTCTTTCCTTTCTGTAGTTATCACCCTCTTTGAGATCCTTTGGCTCCTTATTTGGACATATAAAAGACGTAGCACATTTATTTCAGGCTTGTATTTCTTTCTGTAGATAGATCCTCCTCACGCAGAACTCCCAATGAAGTCAAAGAAGTGATGCTAATTGCAACTGTTTTTTAAATGCTAGTAATGCTTCTGGGCTGTGCCAGTCACACTGATGTCAGCAGGGTGAAGCTGGTGTAGAAATGGCAGGTTGAGAAGAACAAAGCCAGAGCATTTTAACAGCTTTACTCCTACTCTACCAAGAAAATTGTATTCGTGCTTACTACCTGGCTTCTTACTCCTCCATACTGAGGCAACTGTAAGACTCATTGGTTTAAGAATTATTCTAACATGGCTTTTAAGTAGATTGCTGAAGGTTTCATGTTGTAATCAGTGGAGGTATATAAAATTCCCAGGACAAACTGCAGAATTTTGTAGCGGCTCTTCAAAGTTTTCCAGTCCCGTAGTTTGACACTAACACCTGTATGTTTTCAGCTTGCTATCATGATAATTTTGGGAGCTGTTCTGGAAGAAGCAGATCAAAGCAAACAGCAACTGTAAAGCTCAGTGGCAGGTGCCTCTTTCTCTTTGGTTGGTTTCTGGACCAAGAGACAGGGGCTCTTTTAAGCAGAGGCATCATAACTGCATTCTTGGAAGAGGATGGGAAGTTGCCGACTTCTCATGACAGAAGTCCTCCTGGGTACTTCTTCTGCCTTTTATCCATGCTTGCTCCTTTTGTGGCCTTGGGTTAAGTAAGTCACTTAAATTTTCTGGGGCCAGGTCCTCATCTGGTGTAAAAAGGCACAAGTGTATGAGGGCCAGTGCTATGCCAAGTTACTACAGCAGGGGACCAGGCCCTCACCCCATTTCTAAAATGGGGATATTAGCACTTACCTACCTCCCAAGGATGCTGTGAGGATTAATGCTCATACAGCGCTTTGAAGATGTAAAGTGCTATATAAGTCCCAAGTATTATCCTACCTTAGTGTTAAAAATGCTTTTAGGGATCTGCAGGACTTCTCTTAAAGCATGGAATGTGTGACTGCCTTTTCAATTTGCATCAGATGGAAAGCAAATGCAAAATATTTATTCATACTGATTAACGGGATGGGCTCAGCTGCACTTGAACTCTGAGGAGAGTTTAGCTTAAAAGTCTGAACTCTAATTTCAGTTTTGCAAATGGTTTTTAGTTCTTCTAAAAGCCTCAACCAAATTCTTAGATGTGAACCTTGCATCCAAATTTTGCAGTCTGGTCTTATCCCTGACTGTTAGCTAGAATAAATCTAATCCAGCCAAAACACAGTGCTGTCACAGTCTGCTATGGCTGATGAAAAGACTGGAACAGAAAATGAAGTTCTTCTGTTCAACCTTCATTCTGCAGAAGGTCAGCTAGGTTTCATGGGACAACTTGCAAAGGGATGGTTAATTTCTGTGATTGTAAGTTTTACTGGTTTTAAAATCAGCAGAGAGAGAAGGTCTTGATGGAATCAATAAGGTCGGCACATCCTTCTTGAATTACTTCCTTTTCACCTGAATCAAAGAAACAGCACGTTCTGTAGCGAAGGAAGTGCTTGTACCACCAGTCCTAGGGCCCAGAACAAAAGTTGATCTAGAAATACAGCTCTAAACCATCACCATGTTCTCAACTAGTATAAAAATGTCACTGTTCGCTGATTTCAAATCTGGACCACAGCTAGAAACTAGTTAGTTCTGGTAGCACTAGCTGCTGTACAAACACAAATGAAGGCAAGGAATTACACACCAAGGAACGTGAGCTGTGTACATGTGAAATGGACCATAATTTTGAAGCAGCTGCAGTAAAATCTTATCTTAATATGAACTCAGAAGCAAACACAATGCAAATTTTTATGGTTTCTTTAAAATGGTTGATGGGTTTTAGTTTTCTTAGTTTGGAGGAAATTTTCTTAATGTTATTTTATTTTTGCTCGTATTGTAAAGAATAAAAATATACAACTCTAGCTAGACTACAAGTGAAAAAAGGTGGCCAGTTGGCAGGAATGCCAAAACTTCTGTGGCTTGTATTGTTTCTGTGGTGACATTACGCTGCTGTAGGATAAGCTACTGGAGTGGTGTGACGGCTCAACGGTGAGGCTGAAGCACAAGGCCAGTCTCATATAAGAGGGATGCAGGGGCTGAGCCACCGAGACTGTAGTGGGAACACGAATGGGCCAATTTGGATCAGTCAAAAGACAGAGAGAGCATCAGGAAAGAAAAGAAACCTTTTCCTGACACATAAAAAGGAAGAAACCAAAGCCAGCCCATTGGGCAATGGTGCTGAATCAGTACAAACACACGTATCTAGACCTTGCTTGTGCAGGCTCCTGCTGGGCCAGGCCTTGCTCCCAATTCGCCTGGGGAGGCTTGCTACAAGCCTACAGTGCTGGCAGGGTCAGGCCAGCAGAACCTGACACTTTGTTAAATAAACTCCAAAAACTAGAAGACAAAACAAAACAAAACAAAAACCGAGGAAAAAGCAAATGCTATTGGGTAAGCGGTAGTTCTGCCTGGCTGAGGCTGCAGACTGGCCGATCTGTCCTCAACACTAATCCCCATGTCTTGTACCCATGCAAGCCTCTTGCTCCAGCCCCTCTCCCACGCATTCCAGGCGGAGTGCACTGAAAGATGTGATGGAAGCAGCTGCTCTCCCCCGGGGAGTCAAGCATTTTGCCACGTCTGAAAGTCTCTAGCACTTACTTCCTTTACCGTGATTGTAAAGGTCACCACATGCAGTACAGCCACTTGATCTGGGATCTTTTCTTAACACATTTTTATGCTGATTTTACTATTTTAATTCTTTGTTTGGAATGTATTTTTTTTTTCTCATTTCTTCTGTGTGTAACAGCAATTAAAAATATTAATTTACTGGGTATTTTTACTGTGCAGATACAATGTCTCCTTGCTCATTTTCTGTTTCTGTGACAGTTTCAGCATGGAGTATGTAGCCAGCTGAACCTCCGTGGCAGGCATTTTTTGCCACTGTTACGCCCGTCAGTCGTGTGGCTCTGCCCTGGAGCTACCCAGCGCCCCACTGAAGCCGACTAACACTGTCACAGCCGGCTACAGTATTCCTGTCTGGGGAACCCTGAAACACAGCCATGTGCACCCCACAGAGCACATCCAGCACAAACCGACCAGGCACCACCGCGACGATGGCACCTGGCTTGTCTTACAACACGTCCCGGGTGCCTTGGGATGCAGAACCCTGAAGCACGCTCGCCCCTTGCTGCTACAGCCAGTCCCACATACAATGGCCATTTGTCCACACTTCCAGGGAGAAGGCAGCTTGCTGCAAAGGATTGCTCTGGGAAGGCTGCTCACTGCCCAGAAATCCTAGACAAATGGCCAAGTCTCTCTTCCCCCCGGCCCCAGCAAAATTTCCAGGAGGAAAAAGTAGGGTAGTATTGACATTTTTCTCTGGTTGGTCAGCTGTTTGATGCAGTGGCACAGATACTTGGTTTCATTAATCCCGAAGCAGGCCATCTGTCACCAGTGGAACAGGTTTCAAGGATTTATAGCATAGAAACACAGAGTGTGTAACTGCTCCCAGTCCATTAAATGGATCTGCTCGCAGGCTTAACAGAGACTCCTTCATACTCCCCTTCTGAAGTGGAGTGGTTCCTGATGTGAGAATGGATCAGTACCAGGCAGAAATACTACCAAATTCTTTTCAAAGCAGCCTAAAGGAGTTAATGGCAGACAAAAGTGGGTGCTTCTTTCCTCTTTCTTTAATTTGGTCTTTTACAATTCCTTTCAAAAACTTAGAGGCCTGCTGGGAGGAGCATCCTGTTTCCTCACACCTACTTCCTAGCTCCAGATGGAAGAAAGGTGGCAAAATATTCTCATACTGAGTGTGTGTCTGTGGTTGGCCACTGCTCTGCTTTTATTCCACAACTGGCTCCTGGAAGAATTCACTCTAATTAGAAGAACCAGCCCTAATGTAGATATATGCATATTTATCTATCTGTCAATCTGTTGATCCTTCAATGGTTCAGATATTCTGTAATTCCTTATCTAGTCTTGGCCACCAGCAGTGCAGGTCCTGGACCCTTCTGGATCTCAAGTTTTACATTTTATGGCCAGCTCTTTCACGAAGTGACTCCCTCGTTTGCAAAGCTGCAGGCTGTATTTACTTTCTTGGTATTACAAGGATTTAAGTGCTTCAGATTTATGACTTTATGTTTATATACAATCTGACATAATGAAGCCTAGATCATCATGAAGGTCTGGCTGGGCTATCTGGGGACATGGAGACAGAACCCAAGTCTCATCTTGAACTCAGAAGCAGGCTTCTCATTGACCAGTGCGGAAGCAAAATGACAGAAGAGAGAACTGCAATCTTTGGCTCCTTTTATTACCATTAAAATACATTAGGATTTGTGTTCTCTGCAACCTGCCACCTCCCAGCCTAAGGAAAATAATATTCATCTCTTCTGAGCTACAACAGCAGGAAGGATGCTACTGTGTGTCATAGAGGTGGAACAATGCCCTATTTGTTTTTGCAAATATTAAGAAAAAGGCTAAAACTGAAAACATGGCTAAGCAGCAGAATGCAAGTGTCCTTCCTTAAAGAAAAGACACAGAAGAGCATACATTAAGAGGAGACACGTATTTGAGAATAATCTAAGAGGTTTAGCTCCCATGGAATCAGCATAGAAATCAGCAACCGAGACTCCTGCACAGCTATTCGAATCAGCAGATTTGCTCATCCCTTAGATCACTCCTTACTCCTTTTCCTTTCCCTTAGGACAGCCTGTCACCAGGTAAAGACCATTGAAAGTCTCTCAAAAAAGTCCTTAAAGAAAGCCTTCCAAGTTCTGGTCTGAAGGAGCTCCCGGCCTAACAAAGAGTGCTTTCACATGAGTTATGATGTCCTCCAGCCTACAGCACCTGACTCCAGGCAGTAACTACCTCTCTTCCAGAACTAAAATCAGCAAGAATATAGTTCCTGAGATCTAAAATAAACCTGCAGTTAAGCTCAATTTGAAGTGAATTCCTTATCACCTGAAGTCAGTTTTACAGTCTCTTATTCTGACTCCTGCTTTCCCACCTCACTCAGCTGCAAATAGCCCTAGCAGCAGAGAGACCCTCCCAGAAGACTGCCCAGGTCAAGGCAAGGAAGAGCCTGAGGAGGCCTCAGAAATAGGCTCCCATTAAGGAATCTGGATATAAATTAGCACCTCACCTACACAGTGCTTTTGCAAGCCTTGTTCCTTAGCCAGCTCTGCTTGTAAACAGGCTGCTTTGAACAACTTTGAAGAGGTACGTTCCTATTGTAACAGTCCTCATCTCAACAAGCTCTGTGTGGGAAGTCAGAAGGTAAGTAAGTCCTACCCAGCCATCAGCTCTCTGAGGGGATAGAAAGCTGTTCTTGTACCCCTCAGGCCTGCCTGCCCTCCCCGAACCTAGGTGAGCGGCGCTGCCAGGGCTCCTCTTGTGTCAGCCTAGCTGGCAGTGATGCCAGGCCACGGAAAGCTCCCACTGATTTTAGGGACTAGGAAACTGTCCTCCAGCTGTGGCTTGAAACTGTGGCTTCAGAGGGGAGTGTATCAGGGAGTGCGTGAAGTGGGAGCCCCAATAACACCAGGAATTCTTAAAAAATGGTAAAGAACTGCTTTCAGTCTTTTAGGTAGGCAGTGGCTGGCTTCAGTGAAACAAGTGTTGCATGTATTCTACACAGAAAGACAGATGAGTTTGCTTGAAAATCAGAGCAGCAAACCCAGCGTACACATCCTTTCCCTCCACGGACCCACACTGGGCTACTTGCCCAGCAATGATCACAGACAAAAATAACCTTAAAAAATCTTTCCAAATATAGTCCCTCATTATTGGTGCTGTATCAGTTTCATTTCAAGCTGTGCCTGGCAGTGTCTCTCTCATGTTCCCTTTAAGAGAACACCAACAGGTCCTGAGGCACCAGGGCCTTTCTCTAGAAAGGGAGAATGGGGGAAACATACTTCAGTGTTATGACAGACAAAAGGATGGAGAGTCCTTGCCCTCAAATGTTTAACCTTGAAGGATCCCTAGTTAATCAATCATAAGCAGGGTGAGCTTACCAGGGGCTGATGAAACTCACAGGACACAGCCGTTTCAAGGCACTGCTGTACATATTGTAAGACCACTCTGCAAGCTTTATGGTTGACATGGGGACATGGGGAAACCATGTGTGGGTCATGGGTTCCTGTTAGTAAAACCTCACCCCATGTACCTGAAGTGTTCAGTCTCATAGGACCAACTTGAGCCAGCTGGAACCAAGCTGTGTGTTACAACCTGATTTAAAACTTCCATGGGTGCTTCCAGCATGGAAAAAAACAGAAGTGAGAGGGGAATATGGAATGTCTGATTTTCTTCCTTTTTGTGTCTTGGAAATTTTTACTAGCTTTCATACAATGTTGGCAAAATCCTGCCATTTCACAAAGGAAGAGAACAGATTTACCCAGTGCAGCGTCTGTGGTATCTGCAAAAAAAGCACAAAACTGCTGTCAGAATGCATCAGTTGACTGCTTGGAGGTGTTCAGCATGCCACGGGTGCAGGGCAAGCCTGGTTAGGGACTGAGAAATGGCCATATTTGCTTTTGAGCCATCTATGGAATTCATGAGACCTGCTAGCCAAATTATGCCATTTCAAGGGACCCAATACTGCCTTCAAGCAACTGAAGACAAATCTCAGTGACTTCAGAGGAAGACAAAGTCAGAGTTAGGCTGTTTCTGGATATGAAGGTAAGTTCTTACAGTGTGGCCCTTGCAGCTCCAGCTGCAGTACCTACAGACTGAGCAATCTCTTCCTCTGTGGACAAGGATGAGAGCCAAACTGGCCCAGAGAAGTGTGATCCACCATGCCAGTCCCAGTAAGTGCACTCGCCCTGGAAAATAGCAGGGTGTAAACTATACTCAGAAACATGAAATCTATGGTTACTCAACCTGGAGGGAATCACCCCCAACAAATCACAGTGGCTGCAAATCTGACTTACCACCGATGATCAGCTTGCAGCTGCAAGTTGTAGGCATCATAAGCAGACAGATGTTACTTGTTGAGTTGAACCACAACTTAGACTTGGATGCGATGCTAATATTGCCCTTGTACAGGGTCACTGTTGGGTGGGGGTTGCTGATGAAAGCACAGCTCGTGGCGCAGTCGTTGCCATGACTCATGCTGTGGTTCTTCAGTAGGGCAATGAAACAGGAAGCACAGTCCTTCCTGGGATACTCCATCTTGAAGTCAAAACACTCTGCTGAGGACAGCGTCACTATGGGATGCTTCACACTGCACTGTCTGTTGCACATGCGCACATGCAAACACAGAGCCAGCACCATCAAGACAGTCTTCTGCACGAGTACAAATCCAAAGAGCTTGGGTATGACATTTCATGACCTGGGCCTTCTTTCCCACCAGGGAAAACTCAGGGAGGAGGAAGAATGAACAATAGACCGCATTACTCTCAGCATCTGACCAGCATACCTATCTCAACATACAAACAAATACAAACTGAAAAGCAAGAGAGGAAGGAATCAGAAATCTCATTCTCCCATTAATCTGCTATGCAACTGTAAGCAAGCAATTAATTACTTTGTTTCTTGGTCTGTAAATAAGGTGTCAGGTTTTTGTTCCATGGGGATATATTGATGCCTTCTCTCACTAATGCCATTAAATTGTAAAGTGCTTTTGGATATTTGGCTCCCAAGGCACTTTAGAAATGCATGATTAAATTACACCCAATTATAAACCAAAGCAGGTGATCTTGTAAAGGAAGGGATATTGCTCTGCTGGTGTTGCTCCCAGGCATTAATAGTCTACAGAATGCTCTGGGGGAATCAAGGGGAATGCATGTGCAATTTAATTTCCAGTGTCCACTGCAAATTTTCCATTTTCAGCCTGTATTTAAACACAGTTCTTGAAGTCTTTATTATCTCCTTTTGCATTGGCATGGGGTCCCATCAGGTAAATCCCCTGGATCCTAAATGTAGCACTGTATGGCAAAATTCTCTTATGAGACCTCATTCTCAGAAAACAGCTTATCTCTTCCTTATCCTTCAGAGCTTTTCTACCATCTCTCAGGTTTGTGCAAATAAACCTTGTGACTTGCCATTTATAACGAAGAATAGGAAATCAGTTCACATCCACTTGTGTCCTGCTGTCAGACAGGCAGGCTGTTATCAAAGGAATGTTCAAGGGAATGCACTGCAAGGCACAACCAACCTAGCTTTCCTCCATTTACTACTCTTCTGTACTCGCCTACATGCACAGAAGTTACTGAAGTTGTTTCAGACTCTGTAAAATCCAGGCCTAGAGTACTGCCATACAAGAACATGACTACAGCCACACAACTGGAAGTGCTCTTTCTCAGCTGCACATGTAGCTGAAGTAACATACCTATGGTCTAGTTAGGTCGATCAAGGAAGGCTGATTATTAAATACAAATACACAATTTGATACCTGATTACTCATTTTAGTGTACTACTAATTCTGTTATTTTAAGGTATTGCCCATTACTCTTAATGGAATTAGAAGACTTGTAGCAGCATGTGGATAGGCTTCTGAAGAAATATATGCATAGTCTGGTAATATATTAATATATAGTTTGTTTTATATTACTATATTGTTTATTACAACAGGCATAGGCCAAGCAAAAAAATTTGGCTTGGATCTCACTATTCAGAGTTAACTGCATTCTGCTTTGCCCCAGACTAGGGAAGAAGGATCACTTACCATTTTGATTTGATGAGCTGGGGCATGTTCAGTTTTGTTTGGGAGTACTGCTAACGAGACATCCTTATTACTGATTAGGCCTGAACAGGGAGAGACTGAACAAAGGAGAAGGTGTTTATCTGATGGGATGACCTCTGAGTTTTAATGTGCTTTTAGAGACTTCTTACAGCTTCTGGCCCCAAAGACTGTCACACAGTCTCCTATGTGTGACAGGTTTGTTTGCTTTTCATTTAGGAAACAAATCCCAGTCAGACTGGAAATATGCTACAATATGTAACACCAATCTTCTGTTATGTTAAAACATGATAATATCACCCTCCCTGCACAGGGATGGCCCCTACTGTCTTGATTTTTAATTTAAACAGCATCTGTATGAACTGCTATGTAATGTGCTACACATACATGTAGTAAAAGGAATCCTGGTCCTGAAGAGGTTGCTAACAAATGGATGGGATAGGACATGAGGAATTCTCGTGTCTATTCCCCAGGTGGGGACCTGAGGTGCAGAATAGGTTAGTGATATATCCAAGGCTACCAGAGGGAGCCTGAGCTTAGTCCACAGTCTTGTGTACAAGAGCACCCATCTTCCTCCAGTGTTGTCATGAATTTTTATGCTTACCTCTGTCTTTGGACATGTACCACTGCTCCTGTGAATCCAGAGGGTCAGTGTCCCCAGTTTCATTGCAGACAATGACTCAGAAAAAGTATTTCCTCCCTGGGAGCAGGCCTGTGACAGTGGGCTTATTGCTGTAGACGTTCTCTGCGGCTGTGAACCACGCGGCGGCACTGACATCACATTTCAGGACACCATAATCAGTCTGCTAGCTGTCTTCCACACCTGAGCTATGATTTAGGGTCACAGTGTTTGGGACTTCTTCAACCAGCTGCAGATTAGTGGGTGGTCAGGGGAAATCTAAAAATTAATGAGCACATTTAAGTATTGGTTTCTTCTGTTTGGGACCCTCCCTCTGTCCTTTTCTGGGGTAAAAATTTTTCACTTCAGCTCCTCCCTTCCAAAGTCCCTGTGTGTCTAGGAAAGTACTTCTTTCCTTGATTTCTTCTACCCTGAGCAACCTGAGGACCAATTTGCCCTGTGCATGTAATTCTCTTCTGATGTAAAAATAAGGCTGTTTTTGTTAGTTTTAAAAAGCACTCTCTGAAGAGATGACAAGTACAAAATACACTGCAAAGGTCCCTAACCCCTAGCAGATCATTATAGTAATAGGAGTCTCTCTAAAGAGCAAGCCAGCCTGCCTCCCCTTGGCTGTCACAGACACACTTGCAATGGAAATGATGTCACCAGACTGCTGAGGGGACAGACACTGTTGTGTTACTGCTGTTATGGGGATTTGCCTGATCAAATAATGGCATGTTCAGGACACCATAATCAGTCTGCTAGCTGTCTTCCACACCTGAGCTATGATTTAGGGTCACAGTGTTTGGGACTTCTTCAACCAGCTGCAGATTAGTGGGTGGTCAGGGGAAATCTAAAAATTAATGAGCACATTTAAGTATTGGTTTCTTCTGTTTGGGACCCTCCCTCTGTCCTTTTCTGGGGCAAAAATTTTTCACTTCAGCTCCTCCCTTCCAAAGTCCCTGTGTGTCTAGGAAAGTACTTCTTTCCTTGATTTCTTCTACCCTGAGCAACCTGAGGACCAATTTGCCCTGTGCATGTAATTCTCTTCTGATGTAAAAATAAGGCTGTTTTTGTTAGTTTTAAAAAGCACTAAGAGAAGAGATGACAAGTACAAAATACACTGCAAAGGTCCCTAAAGCAGATCATTATAGTAATAGGAGTCTCTCTAAAGAGCAAGCCAGCCTGCCTCCCCTTGGCTGTCACAGACACACTTGCAATGGAAATGATGTCACCAGACTGCTGAGGGGACAGACACTGTTGTGTTACTGCTGTTATGGGGATTTGCCTGATCAAATAATGGCATGAAAAACAAGGCAGCATTTGGGGATGTCTGGAGCAATAACTGCTTCACCCTTTCCCTCCACAATGGACAGAGTGAGCAAAGCCCCAGCAGTACCTTCCTTATCCCTCAGCTATGAACCATGCTGCTCCTCTGCTTGGCTCAGCTAACTGGCTGAGCTAGCGGGAAGGTGGGACTTGGGAAACACAGTGATAAGAGGTAGGACAATCCTTTCTGACCGGGGAGTCTTTTTCCCCTTGAGTGGAAACATTTTGGATGCTCCTGTGGCATTTTTTGGATAAGGGGTGTGTATGATTGGGATCGTTTGGATTTTTTTCAAGAAAAACCCCAACCTTCCCAACTCTAGTATTGATGCAGCAATTGTGTGAAATTTCCATCAGCAGAGGAATACCTCCTGTCAATACCCAGAGGTGACTGAGATGCTCAAGTTTGCTCTATACTGTACCTGTAACTTGCTTTTGAATGTTGTAAAGGACTTCTCTGTAACTATTCTTGAGGATAGTCTGGTGCAGGTCAGAAACAAATTGCTTGGTGCTGTGAATAAGGACTGGGAATGGTTCTTGTCCTCCCTCTTGTTGATATGATTTCTTTTTGCCACATCACTGGTGGTGGTGGGGAGCCCTGGCCAAGACAAACGTGCAGCTATAATGTTCTGACTTGGATGGCAACAGAAACAAACCACGTCTTTGAGCACAAAAGGGACATCTGTGTCTACAGGAGCCACTTGTACATGATCAGCCTGATGATAGAAAAAAGTTTCAAGGACAACAATCCTAGACATTTCTTCAAGATGTAAAGGCAATGGCAGGCTTTGTCCCCAGCAAAGTGCATAGAGCTGGCTTGGCTTGGGAGGTGCCACATAAACCTTATGCTACAGTTCATTAGTTTGATCATCTTGAAAGCTGAGGAAAAACAGCTGGTGTGATACAGATAAACTTGTACAATTTAGCCCGAGAAACACATTCTTACACTGGGGCTGATTCTGCAAGGTACTGTAGAGCCTCAGCTCGTGCAGTAGTCTAGGCTTAAAAAAAAGGAAAGCACAGAAATTGCCCTTAGCCTCTACAGAAATGAGCTCAACATCCATGTCAATAGAAATTGTACCTCAGAAAGGACAGTTTTGGGACCTCAACCGTTGTCTTTACAACCCGATCGCTCCCCTAGGTCACTCAAGGTTTAATCAAGAATGATTTCACTTCAGTTAGCATGAACTGTAGTTGAACGCTCGAAAAATTCTCTTGTGATGAATCAGAGAGCTTCCCCAATGTTTTATGGTTTGCTGAACACTGTTGCTCCAACTGCAGAGGGCTGGATTGTGCAGCTGACAAACTTGCATGCCCCAAAGTCCCTCTACCCTTACCACCACAGGGAGGCTTATAAAAAGACTAGCCATAAAAATAGTGAGCAGTTATGCAGGACTTCATGAACCTAAAGCACTGCATGAGTTTTCTCCAACAGTCAGCTTCTTTTAAACCAAAGTGACAGCTCAGGTGATAAAGGCCAAAGGACAACTACAGCCTCCATAGCCCTGCAGCTGTATTTCACCAGATGCCCAAGAAAACTCTAGTTGCAGGATTCCTCCTTTGACAGGACACAACACAGAATCTCACAGGGAAAGATGTATGAATGCTTGGTGCTGTCCCAGCACAAACCACCATGTGGCTCTTCAGCCTCACAGTCAGGTCAAACCTATGGGGGGGACAAAAGAAAAACAGAGAGAGATAAATTAAAAAATTAAAAGAGTGAGAGATTGCACAGAAAAGTGAAGCCATTCTTCAGTCTGTTGAGTCACGCCTGGAGACTGGAAGAAACCTTCAAACTGTTTCAGCAGAAGGCAGTTAGTGTAAGGATTGCAATGTTGCCAGCTCTTTTCCTAAAACCTGTACCACCAGAAGAGAAACATTAATGCCTCAGAAATCAACAGCTTAGTGATGAGCACCTATTCAGCACAATTTCAGGTGAGGCAGGTGGAACAGGAACATTTAAAAATAGTTAATGTAAAAAGTGAATGAGAACAAAGAAAAAGAAGAGGCAGCTTTAATGCCTCATCAGATGATTTTACTGTCCACCTTCTGCCACAAGCAATTTTGTATAATGTCTGTTTCTTATAGGACTTTTCATAGTCTTCAGTACAGTACTGCATGTTGCCATTCCACACCAGAGGAGTTTGTCTGGAGCCTGCAGTTTCTGGGATTTTTTGGTGTTTCTCTATTTGGAGATGTGGTAACAAAGCCATGCTGCACAGATGGGTTGTATAGTTCCAAAGTGGAGACTGAGAAGAGAAACAACCATTTTTTGTATCGGTCACCTGGATGTTGCCTTCTGAGACTTCCTCAGTCAAGCCTGAATGTCCTTCTACTCTATAGGAATCAGTGCTATAAACCATGACTCATGAATCATGCATCTTTTCTTGCCGGCATTACTGCTACTGAGGGCAGTCAGCACTATGCCTTGTTACCTGGGAGTATCTTAGACATAAAAATTCTGAATTTCCTAATTATTAAGCAATCATAAGTCCTAAACAATAAAGATTTAAATACTTTGCTACCTCAAATAGTAAGCTCTCTAGGGATTTCATGGCAGGTCATGATACCTTCATTCTCAAGATATAATTAGTGTCTTTGAAGCATGACCTCTGATAATATTATTTCAACTTTAGCATGCTGGCACCTGACTGTTCATCCCATTCAAACTGAGTGCCTGAAAGAATTATAATCCTGTCTCAGTACCACCGTATTTACAACAAATGGGCATTTCAAAGATGATGGTTTATTTGCTGTAGTACCTACCCTCCTAACCCATACTCAGACTACAGTATCCATGACAAGAATCAGAGAATCTTCCAACAGTGACCTCTGTAAATACGTGAGATGTGACGTAAGAGGTCAGATGGTGGAAGAAACAACTGCCATTATACCTGACATACTCATTCAGGGCACAGCTCAGCAAGACGGAGGGCAGAATGATTTTAATTTGGCTCAAGGACTGCACAGCTTGTGCTGCTCTCCATCTCCTCTCAGCAGCTCTGAAAACTCAGCAAAAAGAAGCAGAGCTGTGATGCTAAATGTTCTTTTGTGCAAGATGAATTTAATAACCCTTTACAAAATGAGGTATATGTTAAAACCAAAAGAAAGTAACAGCTGATAGATGGGAGTTCCAGCTGGATGGATACTGCAGATCTTACCTGAAAGTGGCATTGCTAGAATTCCTTCCTGTAACTCCACTGCTTCTCCCATACCAGCTTCATTCACAGCTCGGGTTCAGAAGTAGTATTTGTCTCCCCTGCAAGCCTCCCACAGTGTAAGTGGTACTACAGAGAGGGATCTTGGTGCATTTCGTCCATTTCTTGGTGTCCTCAGCTCACGTCTCTAGTATGTATCCTGACAGCACATCTCCCTGGTCTGGCTCCTGCCAGGCTAAGGAAATGCTGGAGTTGGAAAAATCCACCACCTTCAGCAGTCCTGGAGGCTCTGTGACAGTAGGAGAGCTGTGACACACTACTGTACCCGCAGACCTGCGCTTGCACATGTGAATACAGAGCTGTTCCTATTTCAAGATGCCAAACCTGCAAGGTTTTAGGGTAAAAGGAGCCTTAATAAACACAGAGCAAATTCTGTCCAACAAAACAATGCAGTTTCTAACATGGCACATACATGTAGACCCTGTTCCAAGGTTGGCCATTTAAGAAAAATCCTCACAACTTTTGACACGGGACCATCTGAATTCAGCTTGGAAAGGGCACCTTCTGTGAGCGCTGATGACCACTCATTCTCCACATGTGTTTGGGAGAGGTGTCTAGCATTAAAGGTTTCCTTCTGTCTCTTCCTAGCTGGCGGGTGAGCTCTGCAGTACATTTCCTATAACCTGTCTTGTATGCCTTTGAGTGCCTTGTGTCTCTTCTTGTTTAATAAATCCCTCTTACAGTCCTTTGTAAAGTGGTCAGGTGCTATCTGGACTGCTTGGATTAGTGAATTTGCTTACTGGCTTGCAAGATCCTGTTAATGTTCTTCAAGTTTATTTGCCAAAGATTACAGTACCCTAACTAATAGTAATTTTTGAAAATACAGATCTTGCTTTTTCCTCTTTAGTCCACCTTGCAGCAGTCTAGTTAGATCTCCATAATATGTAAGAAGAGCAAAAGATGGAATATTAAAAAAATCTGTATGTTTTTAATCAAATGAATAGGGAGTCGTGTATGTTCTGCTCTGAAAGTCTCAGCTAAAATGCAACGACCCTCCCCCCACCCCCAAACCAAAAAAAGTCAACCGGTGCAGCATGCCATGACAGACTTGATGCTAATGGCTTTTATACAGAACACTCATATGAGCACACAGGGTCATGAGGAATATGGTGCATATGGACAGTACATATTCTCCTAGGCCTAATGTGAAATAATGCAAGTCTTCAAATAGGAGAAGAATCATAGCTTCAGGCTTTAAATTGGTTTTGTGTCGTCTTCTGATGTAAAGGAACCTGAATGCTTTCCCATCTGAGTAACTATTTAACCTCAAGGCTCTCATCTACTACATAGAATTCTTTCATTTTTTAGCTATACCAGCTTCCACACTTGGCCAGGTTTTTTTCTAAATTATGTGCAGCTACTAAGGCCCACTCCTGTATCTATTACAAGATTCCATCAATAGTTTAAGCTATTTATTGATGGCCTCTGACAGCCTTTTGTTGTTAAAATGCTTTAGTTATATGGTCATACAGAGTAAGAATTCTTTATAATTGGCACAAAATAAAATCTGGCCATTTCAGCATTTCTGAGGCTACTGTAATTCTTTGGAGTTTGCCTGTGATTTTGATCAGTCTAGAATTAGGCACAGATTCTTTACTACTAAAAATCCAATATTAAAATAAAAGAAAGTAAGCAACTTTCATGAATTCCGCAAGAGTTTTCTCTTCTTTTAAAAGGGTTGATGGGGGACTGACGAAAGGAGCACAGTAACATGTATGAGAAATGATTTTCTTTGTCATACATTAGGGCCTTTGGCAACCCTTATGTAAACATTAAGTACTAAAGGTATCTACACCTCAGAGCACTTTTATCATGTCGATCTCTGCTGCTTGCATATACTCAATTCCTCCCAGGTGGGAATCTCTTACTGTGTCCTTATCTTAATAGTTACACATTTTAAGTGAATAATATCACACTTTCAGGCACTTATAATATAATTACGTTTATAGTCAACAGTATTAAGGCCTTCCTTAATCTTTAGTTAAGCTGTAAACACAATGCAGTCCATTACGTTGAGCCAGGCTGGAACTGCCACATATCCTCAGACTTCAGTCATAAATGCATAGATCTGCTCATCGCATACATGTTTAGGAAAACCAGACATGAAACAGTGAAAGAAACATACTGATGGGATCCTTTGCAATGAGAAGTTGAGGGCATACTGAGAAGTCCAGGGCCTGCACGGTTCACAGCTATCACATGGAACTCATTCTGTATCCTCCAGAAAATGGTCCACTTTGAATCTGGTACCTAGAGACAGACATGTTGCCATTACACAACTCTCTAATCACTCATAAAAGTGTTCCCAAGTGGTCACTATTTTTTTTTTTTATTGCTTTTGGACTGAGATAAACCAAGAAGAAATTTCAGCTCACAGACTGCTGGAGAACAATATAAATTTGAGGGTTCAGGGAGCCCCTTAACTAGGTCTAACCTTTACTTCTCCAGTGGTCTGCTCCATTTTCATATCTCTCTCCCTAAGGAGGAGATGGAATTTTGATGCATATAATAAGAGGAAAAATGCATAATTTGCTTTCCACTAGATTATGGTCTATAGCCTGGTATAATCATACATGCTGGGGAAAAACACCTTTGTGTCTTGCTCCACTGACTTCAGTGAGATTTCCCATGATGTAAAGAACTCAATAGAGTGGCCAAGCCTTCCACAATCTAGCCTTCAAGCAAGGTTAAACCTCCATTCAATTTTGACAAAAAACCTCAGGAATTGAATAATTTGCCTTAAAAAGTGTTTCCATTATTTACCATAAGTAAAGTTGGTGCCTTAAGGAGGATATTTTTGGATAGTGTGATTGATTGTAACTTAATTAATATGAAAGTCCAACATTTTGAATGAGACAGAGGAAAGAATCCAAGAAAGAACTAAAATATTAACAGAAAAGGAAAAGCAAAAGTCTCGCTAGTCAGATGCTGCTGCTGATAGGAACACTCCCATGTGTTACACAAGCTGTGCTAAGCATGGATCATATGGTTGCTATCTGATGGATACAACAAAATTGGTCACTTGTTTAATTCAGTTCTGGTCTAAGTCAGGTAAAAGCAGCCAAATTTAGGTAGGAAGAAATGTAAAATATAGACGCTTGAAATCAGGCACCCAAGTCCATAGGTGTGACTTTCAGAGGTGCTGAGTGTTCTGCCCTCTCATTGTTGCTCATGTGTATCAAGCCATTTCTATTTGAGGGCTGAAAATCTCACTTTGAACAGCATATGTCGAAATGTGTATCTTGCTAGATGTCATGGTGAAATTTTCCTTGATTAATCAATACTCTGCTTTGCATCCAAAGCTTATCTAACTTTGGGACTGGCTCCTTGGTGATTGGGACACAAAGATTGCTGCCCTTCTTCCTTTTTTCTATGGGGTAACCTTGCACTGGGGAGCCTCCATCCTGGACTGGGGCGTTCCAGGTGATGGTGACAGCTTCTTTCCTGACATCTACAACTTGAGGCTGACACACCTGTCTCAGAGGCTCTACACAGAAGAAAATAAAATTAGCACAGTACAATCAGAATTCATTGACTCCAAACTGTGTGTATGTTATGTGTGTGTATATAAATATATATGTATGTATGTATAGCAAGAAGTCAAGGAGGGTAACTGGTATGTTTAGGTTTATTCATGGCCACAACCTTTTTCTAAAGACTCTTTCTTTGCCATCTAATTCCCTTTGTCATTTCAAATGCTGAAACATTTCAATTCTTGCACTTCTTCTGAAAATGAGCTCTTTCTGTGATGCATTACAGAGCAGCTCAGAAACGCCTTCCCTAATCCATAGGAAGTCTGGACAAAAATGCAAAATTTTAGATGAAAAATTATATATATTACTTCAGGTTGGTAATTTTCTTTCTGAAATGTTTCAACAGGCCAGATTTGCTGTTTGCACTGTGATACACCCTGGTCTTGGGCAAAGAGAACTGCAAATCCCCTTTCACTGGGGTTTCCAGTCCATAAAGGAAAAACAGGAACAAGAGGTACCTGAACTGTAACTCCCAGAAGATAGTTCAGCAGTGTTTTCTAACCAAATTAGTTTTTGGCTGACATATTTTTTTTTTTTGGCCGCAAAACAAAATGTTTTTAAGCATTCCCTTTTAAATTATCTTCTCTCCTCCCCCACAGTATTTTCCAGAGAAAGCCACTTTTCATTTCTGCCGTATCCCACTAAACTTACGTAACTGACACTAGAACAGTGTGTTAGTCAGTACTCCCTTGTGGCCAGCCCATGTCGAGGGGTTTCTGAGTCCACAAACATTTGCAGTGAAAGGACCTGGGTATTTGATCCTGGTTATTAGCCTAAGCACAAAGCAGCTTCTAAGCTCTGTCCTTGGAATTTGTCCCCTGAAGCACAGGGGACAGTGTTCTTTTGGGGACTGGCAAGGAGGGAGAGGACAAAAATCATGGCAAGCGGGACTGTGAAACCACATTAAAACCAGCTGGCTAACAGGTTCTCCAGCAAAAATTTCTTCTGTTTCCAGGGGCTCGATGAAGCCCTCAGAGTTGATGGCACGTATTCTGAATTAGTAGGCTTTTCCTTCCTCCACCTTCTCCATAGCAAATGTGGTGTAGTTGCTCTCCACCACCACTACTTTGATCCACGATTTTTTCTCCAGCCACCCTCCTCTTGATGACAAAGTGAGTCACCTGCTTTCCTCCATTGCCTTTGGGTGCTTTCCATCTCATTTTACATTTTCCCCATGTGTAAGAGGAACTCTGCTTTCCCCTGTGGGGGTTTTAGTTTGTCTGCAGTGTGAGCAGCTGACCAGAGTGACATGGAGGGCTGTTATTTAGAGGGTCATATCCTGTCACGGTGTAAATCAGTGTAGATTACAGCAAAACTAAACTGTCTTGAATTTGATAACTCAGAATCTGCGCCACTGCAAGATTTTTAAAAAGAAAGTCTGAATTACAGTGTCTGTAACCCAACATATCTACCTGATTGTCCTGCTATAAAATGATTAATTTAGGACCTACTAACAAAGTTGAGGTAAGGATTGTCAGAAGCCGAGCCACAGTAATTTTTCAGATTCAGCATGTCTTCTCACACAGATTTTGATTGTAACGCAGTCACTGGCTTTCTCCATCACCACTTTCTCTTCCTATGTCACCTCAATGCCATCTTTGAACCATGTGACTTTGGCCACTGGCTTTGCCTTGAAAGGCACATTGATGCTTGTTGTATGCTTAGTCTTCACAGTAACGCTGTGTGCAGCAACAAGCTCGAGGACAGATTCTTCAATAACAGGAGAATCTGGAAAGAACAGAAGACATCTGAAAGCTGCAGCTGCAAATATAGCTTGACATCTTTCCTGTGTCTGCGAGTTCCCAGAAAAGGTGGTCCAAAGCTGGGCCCTTCATACACTCCTTCATGTTTTTAATATAAGAATCCTGTATTTTGTGAAAGTCTTCGGGGACACTCATAATCTTCAGCGTGTTTTGATTCAGTTAATTTAGTTCTGTTTCTTGTACAGGGAGCCGGCTGACCTCCTTTAGTTGTTCAGCTCAGCAGAAAAAGAGGGACCTCTGGGAAATAGCAAGCCCCAAAGCTCCTCGCTTCCCTAGGGCCTGGAGATTTGATTCCAAGCAGTTTCTAAGTTTTGCAAGGCACAAGAAGAAGCCCTTTGTGCTGTTCTTCCCTAAGGCCACGCTGGGATATCTATGATCATGATAAAGATAGTAGAATCAAAGTTAGGTACTGCTTTAAAGAAAACGCTCCCTCATTTCTTAGAGTAATATGGAAAAATGATAAGGATGTCCTGCACACAATAAAGAAAAATAACCAGGTTCCTAAACATATGTGGTGTTTTGCCTTTTATTTTTGTCACACAATGTGTATGTTTCAAAATGACAATCTTCTGCTGAAAGTCATAAAAAGGCATTAAAAATATTTTCGAATGCAGGAAAATCAACCCTCCCTATACCAAAGCTTTGCTGTGGATGGGTTTTTACTGCAACACAGGTATGATAAATATTCGGTGCTGCAGCCACAGCATCCTTACTGCTGCGTTTGTCCTGCTGTTCGTGCAGCGGTATCTATCTGCCTTGCCTTGATTCAGCGGACAGAAAGAGACTTATTTCCATGCTGCAGACGAGTCTGAAAGTCCATCTGGCGCCATCTGGCTGCCAAGAGCTGAGTAATATGCATATTTATGTACTTCTATATATAATTTCAGAAAAGGTGTTTTTCTTGTTGCTCATGACAACAATGTTTGAAGTAAAGGCTCAGGCCAAAATTCTTGATTTATAAACACAGATACCTGTGCTTAGTCACTTAAAATCAAGCAGTACGACTGTTCAATTTTCTCCCCTCGGGGAACAAAGCAGCAGAAAGAAGAGGTTTTGCTCATGCACATAGATAAGCCTGTAAAATGGTACAGGCCCAGATAAGGAGACCTGGTGAAGCACTGATTCTGCAAGTGTTTGTGTACACCTGGTAAAGAGCAGTAAAGAGATGGGGTGGCTACCTCTAGTGGCAACTGTTGCTCCACTCTCTCCCCCTTTGGCTCTGAACGTGTACCTCCTTTCATGCTCCTCTCCCATTCTGTCAATGATGAGTTTGCGGATGGCTCCCTGCTTCACTACACAGATCCTTTTCATGTCCGTAATCTGACAAGAAGATTGAGGCAGGAAACAACTCACATTGCAACAAACACCATCTCCAACCTTGTCCCTGAATCCTCTGATCAGTTTCCTGCTCTAAGATGACTAAGCGGTCAGGATTTCCAGCTCCTGCTCCAGTAAAACGCTCTGTGATCTATGGACAAAACGAATTCAGTGTTATGTGGACAGAGTGATCTGTGCATCTGCATAGAGGAGCCACATGGCATGTAAGGAAGGGTGTGCATTAACATGCGAAGGATACATTTACTGATTACTCTGAAAATCAGAGGCTGGGAGAGGGAGAAGGGTGGGTGGTGAGAAGCCAACCTTGTGGGAAAGAATGCGAGTCTACAGGCTGAGAAAATGGGTTAGCAAATGTGAAAGCATCTTTACAGGAGACTGGGAAAGAAAATTTTGAAAAAGCCAAGATTCAAAGCCAAAACTTAGTAAAACTGAGGCTGTAGTAGACTGGAAAAGATTAGATCCATTCTTGTCTTATCTGTCCATCTGTTTGTCCTTAGTCAAAAGCCCTTTACCAAAACCAGGCCAAGTCCCACAGTAGCTATTTAGAGAAAACTTCCCACTAGGGTTTTGCAGCCTTTCATTACACTGACAATACCATGGGCATTTTACCTATTTGCCATCATTAAGCCGTATTCCTTCCACCTTCGTGTCGTTCAGGACAACACAATGCTCGGCAGGATCCCCAGTTAGAGCATGAACGTCACACACATACTCTTCATGGTTGCAAATGTCTCTGGAAGAAATCCCGGTGGAAGCATGTGAACAGAAAAACCATGCAGAATGATTGTTGACTGAGCACTTCAAACACCAAGGAGGTATTTAATGGCAGGGAGACCTCATAACAAAATAGACAGGCCCTCAGGATGAAAGTGGTTTAGTGAATTGGACATCATGGGAAGAAAGGGGGATGGAGAAACGCTGTTCCTAAGTAGTTTTTGCCCTTCTTTATGGGTGTTCACTGGAGGGAATGTAGCTATAGGAACCCAAAAGCTGAAGCAGAACACAGCCTCTTGGCACTGCTCCAGACCCTCAGCTGGTCCAGAGGAGCTGTCAAACCAGCTGAACACTTCCTCTACTGCCTACATAGTATTTGTATCTGAACCTGAACTCTGCATGGTGAAAGATGAATCTGTAACTAAGGCAGCAGCCTGCAATTCCATTGTGCATAGGAGTCAGAGCCAGCTCAGCCACGGCTTTCCAGGTTACCTGTGCCACAGAAGTGGTTTCTGTCCCAGAGGAGTGGTCAGAAACGGCCCCTGCCCCACACTGTCCCTTCAGGCCATTCTGGCCATGGCCCACAGAGGGCACTCGCATACCAGGCCTGGTACCCATCCTCCAGGAGCCAGGGCTTCCTTGCCCACCGCCAGCCACACTCAACCCTGGCCACAGACTCCTCGCCAGGCTGCACGCCTGGAAAGCCCAGGGCTGGGGATGCCATTGGGAAACTGCTCCCTTCTGGCCTGTTTTGGGAAAACAAAATGAGAAATACACGGCCAAAATGCAACTAATGGAGTGACCTCCACTCAAGTCCATGCACCAGGACAGGGTTTGTGGGGCATCATCTGACACAGGAAACGCAGGACTATTAGGAAGAGACCGGCCTCACAGAGACATCTGTCAGGGATGGGCACTAGGGTAGATCAATCTTCCATGTGAGAAAATCTGGTTGACCTCACAGCTGAGCTTCTTTTGGCCCCTGAAGTTTCCTTCATGCCATCCTACCAACTGAATATTCAGTTGTTCCTGAACCTGTGAAGGATACACTAATATAATTTTATCCTCCTTCCAAGCAGTTCATTTTAAAATGGTCTTAAAATGCTGCACTTTTCATGGAAGGCACCTGGGCATAGTTCAAAGCTGGTCCACATCTAACAGAAGTAGTCTCAAATACTAACAGCTACTAAAATCCACATCCTAACTTTGAAATTCTTCTCCAGCCTATGCTGAGAGCATGAAGCTAAGATTTCCAACTTTTTTCCCTGCTCTTAACAGCCTTGTGTCTTTCTATAAGGATCATAGACTTAAGTTTACAGCATCAATAACGCTACTGCAAAATTAATTCACAAAACAAATGTGATATTATTTACCAGCCTCATGTTGTGCTGCTGGTCCCCGGCAGGCTGCAGTCAAATGTCCCGCGGGTCGCTTTAAAGAATCACAGTAAGAATTCATTAGGACAACCTGATTAAAATAAAAAACACGGTACACTTTACTAGGCTGGTTTGTGACACGTGCAAGGACTTAAATGGAAGATTTACTGCTTTATGCTTCTACCGCTTTATACAGCAAAGGGAAGTCCTTAATTATTATCTGCATGCTACCAAGAGGGGGCACAGACTAACGGCTTATTCCATGTTAAACAATAAATAGACTGCAGAGCAGTGTTATCTCACATTAGTTTCCTAGCTGTTATAGCAAAGCAGCACTGCTCCTCTGCAGAGGTCACTGAAGAACAGTGTAGAGACCACTATTCCTCCTCCTCTTCCTCTCTTGAGCCATTCACACTTACCTTCCACAGTTACACTGGCACAGCTGTACTGCTCATTAGGGTCACTGTCTTGCGTAGCCTACGATGGCTGTGCAATCTCCTGAGTCACTCAGCTCAGCAGCATTAATGATAAGCACTGCTCTCTTTCCTTCATGCTTCATGATGTACTGAGGAGACCTCTCAATCACTCATCCATTCTACATCCCTTTCAGGGTGACATCTTCAGAAGTCAGCACACATTCCAGGCAGGCTTTTCCCTTCTTTTTCACTTGGGTGTTCTTGAGATTGCTGACGAACTGAACTGGAACCCCTGGGAAAGGGGAAGGGGTTGGCAAGAAAAAATGGCACATACCAGCAAGCACCTTATAAATAAAAACAGGTGGCTTTGCCTTTGCAGGATATAACATGGGCTCCTGCACAGGAGAGATTCCAGGCTTGGGACTTTACTTCCAGTGTGGAAATGAGGTCTTGATGCTCCTCTGCTTGCCTGTCCACAGACTAGATTTATGAGACTGCGGCTTCCATTTTTTTCAGCCCAAGCTCTGGGGCTTTGTGTTTTAGCTTCATGGATTTTGCAGCTCAAACCTTGCTATCTTGCATTTGATCCACCCACTGCCCAAAGATGATTACTTTGCAATACTTACGATCAATGAAGAGTGGAGTGTTCTGCACTAGATCTCCAGTCTCAACATTGAGTTCTTTCAAGTCACTAGACAGAACACCCTTAATTTTCATAGTGTGGGCCAATCCATCATCAGACGTGATGATTTCATACTTATCACCCCACTTCAACCCTTTCCCATTGAACTTCTAGGTGAAGTTTTGCACTTTCTTTGGCAGGCAGATTCCAAACACTGCTGTCTGTCTTTCAGGCACTTTCAGTGGTTTCAGTTCTGTCAGGAGTTAGGGGCTCACATGTTAAAATACCAAAAAGACAAATATTCATTCTGTTATGCTTAGTTCCCGATCTCAGTTTTCCTACACTAAATAGATAGACTTCAGTGAAGTCATTTTGATTTCTTTCTTGAGTGGTAGCAGAAAGATCAATTCATTCCTTCAACTTCAGTGGAAATTAAGCTAACTACAGTTCATAATGTTCAGTAAAAGTTGCATGTAATCCTACAAAGCTGATTAACAACAGACACACTACTTTTCTGTTCAGTTCTTCTGTCTTAGCTCTGCTTTTTTTTCTCTCCTTTACTGTAGTTCATTGTAAAGTAAATGGCTTCAGGCAACTGCAGATGACATCTAAAAGCATACCTGGAACCATCTGGCAAGCTGAAGGAGGACTGACATCTTCCTGCATTATCTGTCAAGAGTGCTGCAGTGCCTGGCACAGGATTACTATTTGGCTTAAGTAAGGTAATCTACCACACTACCAAATAGCCTGTGCCCAAGCCCTGCCAAGGGCTTTATCAAAAAGATAAGTATTATACTTAAAGAATGGTACTTATGGCAAAGCTTATCTTTAAGAGATGGTCCTACTGTGATAAAAGGTAAGGCAGGTGGGCAGCATTACTTTTACTTAGCATTGATTTAAAGCAAGTTTGCTGTATATAATGTGGTTGGTTTTCTTTCAAACAGCAGGCACACATTTGGCTGGTTGTAGGAAGCATATGCAGATGAAAATATCATTGTCATTATGTCCAGGCCCATCCACTCACTCCCAGGTCCTGTAACATTGTTTGAGCAAAGTTCACTTCCACTAAAAGGACAGTGCCAAGGTGCATTTTGTCATTCCCATCTTTTCCACTAAAACAGGTCCAAATTCAGTAGTGACTCACACTCCTGCCACACTGACGTCAGTGGAGAATTTGGCTTATTATATGTAATAACTAGGCTTCAAACTGAAATCTGCTCTCATGAAAGGTGTTTTCACATGGGCACTCTGGTAATTGTGGGTTGGTTTATGACTTGTACAATGTTAGATTTCTGTTTGAGCTTAAAAAGACCAGTGAATCATGAAAGTTGCAAAGACATACAAGAAAACCAAGTAGGTCACAGTTTGGCCTACCAATTTTGACCCTCGAATTTTTGTCTGCAGATGTTGACATTGTACACAGAACCTCATGTATCCAAGAGCAAAGGTTACCTATCACTCTCAGCATAACAGAGAGTTTGTCAGCCACAAGAAGACTGTAGGTGCCTAGGTCTTTCCCATTCACATTGGTGATGCACAGGATATATTGCATACCCATATGCTTCATATCATTATTTTCTCAGGGAATACAGGGAACACGAAGGCTCTTCCTCATAATAAGCACAATGCTTGCACCTTTGAAAACACGTTCTTTTTGTACTCTCCATTTTGTCTAACTTAAAAATTCTTCCAAGCCGAGTTGTTAGTAACTGGCCTAGTCACTAGTCAAGGCAGACCTCTCGAGCTTAACTTTAGTCATGATCAAGGATACTGTGTAGATGGCATCGGTGTGGTATTGGACACTACACACTTGTAGTTATCTGTATCATCTCAGGAGAAGCATTCAGATTGGAAAGAAAAAAAACAGAGAAAGCAATAAGCAAAAGCTCCACATAGGTTGGGGTGGTGAGAGGCAGATATGGCAAATGTACTAGTGAATTCCTCTTTTTATTTGAGTTTAAATCAGTATTTTTTTAATCATTAACAGAATTGACCTGTTGAAAATCCAGAATCTCTGAGGGCAGAAATTTTGAGGCCAAATTCAATGCTCCCTCCTCCCTAAAGACCCCTCACAGTCTTCCCAAAGCCCCAGAAACAAAGTCTTCCCACTAACAGTGATGTGTTTTGGATCAGATCCATTCTCCACCTAGGGCAGCAAAATGAAGCCACATTTCTTCTCAGAGACATCCTTTTATTCTGGTGCTCTGCACTGAAAGTGAGTATCACCCCTGAACTGCGTAAGCAATACAGAGACCAGAGGAGGGTGGATGGAAGCTGTTGGACTTAGACCCTGGAGTACTGTAGGAAAAGAAAGAGAGTTTGACTTGCCATGGCTGGCAGACTTGTAAACAAAGGACTGCCTGAGAGAAGAGGTAAATTAGAGTGAACTAAGAATTAAGGAGAGAGGAGAGAAAGGGACAGAGCAAGGAAAGTAAGGAAAAGAACAGAAGAAGGGCAGAACTTTTGCAGCCATGGGACATTACAAATTAAACAGGGCTGAACTTGGACATATGTCTTGAATATTATGAATTATTAAGATTTAGCGTTGGTTTTGCCTGAACGGCACACAAGAGGCATTAGGGCCTCACTATGCTAAACACAAAACCAAGTAACAAAAATAACGGTTCCTGCTCTGATGCTCTTTTTCTGTTGATTGGAAACACTACCCTATAAGCACACAACAGTATTTGAAAGTAGCAGTATTGCAGTAGGCCGACTGCAAAACGGGACTTTTTTATTGCTGCTGAGGAACACTATAGTGCTTAAGCTTTTCTTTTTTACAGTTTTTCACTGTGGAAATAAAAAAAAGAATGAGCTAATGGCAAGAAAAAAAGGTGTGTTACCTTAGCACATACTTCTTAAAAATACTGTCAAAAACATTCTGGATCCTTCTTCTGTTGGTACCCACTCTTTCTTTTCCATGTTGCATTAGGCTTTGGTTTACTTTTAACTTTAGCTCAGAATATTGCTTTGTCTCCTAAAATTCAAAAAGAAACATTGGAATTAATGAATGAATGAGTGAAATGGAACAGGGGCCTGTTACCTACTTTCTCTGTTTGGGTTTATTTTAAATGCATGGTTTCTCTTCCTGTCTGCTTTATGGACGAGATTAGATTAACCTTGCTTTACTTTACTTAATGTACTTATTACAACTTTACATCCATCACAGCTACCACCCTGGGAATGAAATTTGTTCATTAGCAGTGCTCTGCACATTGACAGGAATGATTTGTGATTTTTTTGTGATATATAATAAGGACTCATATGATTTTTCTGTCACTTTAGACAGTCACAGATCTGTCACATGGGAGAAATTATACATGATGGAAAGGCTTATTTACTTATGCATTAAAGGTCACATTCTTCCAGCCCCAGCCAAATCATTCGATCATGAGTTCTGCATAAACAAGAACGGCTGTATTTAAATCGGTATGGAGAGGTTTCCAGCAGCTTTCCCGCTGATTTTGACTGATCCACGACAAATCTCTAAAAATAGTGAGGATGGGCATAGGTAACTGCAGTTTGCACCTGTTTTTGTTTACCACTCTTCCAGCTGTAGAAGATGACAGACCATATTTACTTGCATGAGGTGGGTGAATATACCTAAGAACACCTGAAAATGCAGTCAGTTGTTGGCATGTACTAGGTAAAGAACTGTCTTTCACCAGAAATTGTTTTTACTCACCTTCAGGTGTTGCCAGCAGACAAGGTTTTTCCATAAATTCAGGAATGCTTTCTCCAGCAAGGATCTCCAAGGAGCATATCACCATGTTAAAAGACTCCAATAAGGCAGAAGACTTCCTAGAAACAACTTCTTTGGTTGGGCAAAAAATACATTAATCAAGCAGAACAGAGAGGTAGTATATGAAGGATTTATTTACCGGGCATGGGAAAGGGTGGATACAGCAAGAAGCCCTGAAACATAAAGTTACACAGAGAATTGCCCCAGTCAGTTAAAACTCTTGGGAAAGGAAGGTTTGTGCAGCAGGAAGAGTGCTAGCTGTCCGTAGGAGACTGCTGATCAATTCCTTGCTTCCTTCCAGTCTTTCTGTGGGATTTTGGGCAAGTAATTTGCTCTTTCTGTACCTGTCTTGTCATCTACACAATGGGAAAATTGGGCTGCCTTGCTGCACAGGGGTGCTGCAAGGTGCTTTGATGTTAGATGTCATTCAAGAAAGGTATCAAAACTGGATGTATCAAAAGGCCCATTAGGACTTATTCTCTTCTGCACAAGCTGTACTAAGCTCCTGAGTGCTGCTCATGCCCTGTGTTTAGACAAATCCTCCTCCTTTAAACTGTTCATTTCAGGAGGCTCCAAAGAGCTGCTTTTTTCTATCAGAATGAACCCATTTAATTTGTTTTTATAAGAACTAGTTCTTCAGTTCAGGTAAAACTGTATTTTTTTTCCAGCCAGACTGACCAGTAAAGAGCTGGCCCTGAATACTTATTTCTAACAGCTCCGTGCAAACACCTCACTGGAACTGAGATATTTTTCTGTGGTTAATAGCAAAAGGTCTCAGTTTTACACCAGGAAAATCAACAGAATCTCTACTACCAGCTTGGATTATTCCGGCTTATTCATTTAGACTATTTCACTGCACTTTTCCCTAATCAAGGACCTCCCCAGCTCTCCTAAGTATATCACATACAGTGGGACATGTGAATGCTACAAGGGCCTGTGCGCACCCTACTTTCAGTGGATGTGGCTGGGGACCGTGTCATTGTCCTCACTGCAGTGTCAAGACAGAACGAGTAAGGAGGTTGCTTTAAGCCAAGATAATCAAAGCAAGACAAAATGTTTCTAATCAAAGGCAATGGCTGATGCAGGGGCAATACCTATAGTCTTGCAATAGCAGGTGGACCACATGCTGGCTTTTGAGAAGAACAAAAATACTCACTTCCCCCTCAGCAGAAGGCAAACCCCACCGCACAGATGCAGCCCACCTTTTGTCAGCTTGGTGTGCATCACGTAGGGAGGCCATATGACCATACTACAGGAAAAAATTCTGTCACCATATAGCCTGTTTCCAGTGGGGACTCTGCTGCCTACAGCTATGCCAAGACTTGGTCCCAGTATGGAAGGCAGTTTGGGGAAAAGGGACTATTCGATTCTAGTCTTTGAGGGATGAGTACTAGTCATCTAGAAATTGTAGCTCCCTAGTTTTAAAAAGTGTTCCCTGGCAAGACAGATACAGTAAGGAATGGTAGTCTCTGACGCAGTTGTGTGCTGCTGAAGGATCTTGGGGCAGAAGGAAATCAACCCAAAACACAAGTCTTTCCAAGATTTGGGGGCACAATGATAAAGCTGTAATTATGCACTGCAACCTAGAAGATACAGTCCACAGGGAAGACAATGTTAAGACCATATGACCTTGAGACTTTGCTTTGTTGCCAGCAGAAATTATAGCTATGCCAAAAGTGCTCTGTTTTGGGCATCCTCCCAAGGAGATCCTTTTCCTTATCAGAATATATATACCATGGTCTCCTTGCTTAGCTGGCCTTTGTCTCCAGCCTGCCTGTACAAGAGTCAAATGTTCTCTGACTCCTTATGCACAGAAGACAAGTGAAGAGTCTCTATCCTAGACTATGTATGTCCATATACCATCTAAAATTATACAGGGATATCATGCATCTCTACACCCTGTTATGTCTTTTCACTTCTGCTCAGAAATTTTCTGAGAGAGACACAATTTTTAAAGTCTTTCCTACAAACCAAGAAGCCAAGAGAAAATCACTCTTGCTTTTGCGTGGTCTACCCAAAGGTATTCTCCCCACCCTTACCACCCTCTCTCACTGTTCTGTTCTCACCCTTTCACTCTTGCATACCAATGGTCGTTGGTGACAGCAATGATTGGGGCTGGTTAGGAAGAGACGAGATGTTACTCTATAATCCCAAAAGCCCTAGAAAAGAGCGTATTTTGCCCTCATTCATTATGGGGCAAATCCACATCAGTAGCACCAAGTGCTAAAATCAGAAGGCATATAGCATGCTGCTTTACTCACCTGCTCCACTGCACAACTCTGCATACCTTCGCATTTATTTGGATTTTCAAATCCTACAAAGCTCACAGTGACACGGTTTAAAGGCCAACCCACCATTTTAACAGTTCCTCCTTTCACCTTACAAATGGAATTCCCTTTACTTATATTTCTTTTACCTGACCAAAATTTTCATCCTTGGCCACAGATTTTCTGAACATGAAAATGTTACAGGTTTACGATCCAGTAGCTTGTGCCAGCTAAGGAGCAGAAATGGCTAGTAAGAAACAGATTTTTTCTAAACTGCTGGGCTATTACCTTTTGTTATCCTTCAGTCAGAAGAGCAAGTACTCTGTTAGAAAAATTGCCCTTAGTAGTAAGCGATGAGCTTTGGGAAGCCTCGTCAAATTACAAGGTTTCCTGTTTCTTGATGAGACCGGAACCGACTTCCAGAGCCCAAAAGGTTGACTTGAAGGATGTGACATTGTCTGTTACTCCCCATCACCACGACTCAACTTGCCCATACCTTGACTGTGGGCAAGAAAGAAAACAAAATGATAACGCAGACAACCCTCTGTGCTTAGGAGCACAGATACACGATGAATCAACCCATGGGTACTCTGAGAGATTGACTTCACTCATCACATACAGTGTGGCTATCGCACTGTATTTACTATGGCTGCTATTAATAGAATCAGCGCACATTTACAAGGCAAACCAGATCTCAAGAAAAGACTTGTCAGTACCACTGAAGTACACACAACAAAAACTTGGTGCAAGTGAATGGTAATTTTAGTTTCAGTTACAGAAGACAGAATTGGACAAGTTTGACTACTTCTTCTTATGGTAACTGAGTCTTCCCTACACTGTACTTTTCACAGCTCTTTTACTCCTGGTTTTAAGTGTCTCAAGGATTTATACTTCAGAGTGGTACTTCACAAGGTTACTTTCTTGGAAAGGGAAGGAAAGGAAAAGCAAAGCAGATATGAGACTAAAGCTATTGATCTCACACAGCCAATTTCCACCCTGCCTGCCCACAGCCACAGAATACAAAATAGTAGGACATTCTTGAGAATATATGTTTATTTTACCTTTTTTTTCCCAGCTGCTAAGGTCATGATCATTCCTATTAAAGAGAGAGGAGCTTTCAACACCATTACTGACGCTTCTGTGTCCCTCCGCTCACATGAAGTCCTGTAGGTTGTTGCATTCCTAGGAAGATGCCTGGGTCCCTTTACACTGGACAAATATGGCTTTGAGTAGTTCAAAATTTAAATACATACTGGTCTCTTGTGGACTATGTTGTTACATCCTTTACACTGACTTCAGCAGTTTCTCATTCTTGGAATAACAGGACATCCTGCTTTGGTGTTTAAGTTTGTCCTCAGTGCTTCTTTCACACCTCAGTGAAACAGCCAGGCTTTGGCTTTGTTTATTTTTAAGTTACACAGGCAGCAGCTTCCACCATTTCAAAGTCCAGCCAGTTCATTCAGTTACTCAAACAGGGATTAGGCTCTTTAGAAAATCAGTTCACAACTTAGATTACAGAAGTCATTCTTTAATCAGTTCTCTCCTACTCTGTAATAAGTCTGAGATTCTGTCACCCTTCTTCGTATGGAGATGGACTTCATACCCAACAAGTAAGGTACTTCTCAAGAAGAGAATGAATTGCAGATCTCAGCCTGTGTATTCAGCTCTCTTACTTTACTAGTGTTAACAGCAGCAGTGCTGAAATAGTGCAGATACAAGAGGCCATTTTATGTGTATATGGGTCTATCCGTTCTGAAGGACACAGACTACATATCTTGCTTGCAACGAAGGCTGAACTAGTGGCAATAAACTGCTTCTCTTAACTGACCACATTTGACTTCTGTTTGGAACAGAGTGCTGTTATCTATTCTGTATTATGTTAAATTCAAATGAAAAGGGAGTCTAGTGCAGAAGGCACCTGGGTTATGCTTTGCAAAACACAGGGACTTAGAAAACCAAAGAACATCAAAATCTAGCCAACTTCCAGAGGCTGACAGGAATAATTCTAGGCGCAAACTATGGAAAAAGCAATAGCAACCCCCTCCCGGGAATATACCACCTTTCCTGATGATTTTAAGATGATTTCTGCTAGTCTAGGAGAGAAAGAGGAAGGTAAAAAATTTAACAAAAATCAAGAAAAAAACATGCAGAGGTTGAAACATTGTCAACTTTTCCAGTGAGCAAAAAATACCATATACAGACAGCCAAAATAAACACATGCTGTAGTTCACAGGCTAAAGAAGGATTCCAGCAAGACAGAGGCTCTGTGCTTCCTTCTAGAAGTTAATGTTCTTATTAATGCAGATGCATTTATCAAAACAGAAGTGCATGGAAATGGGATCAGTCATGTTGTAAAGTGGATAAGGTATTATTTATTGCTTGTCTAATAAATCTATCAAGGAACCAACCTTCACTTACCTCTTCAATATTCTAATTCAGGAAAAAGAGCCCAACTTTGATACAGAGAAACCTGGTATCTGGGCTGGAAGTCACATTTTCCCCAACAAAAACAAAACACTGCCAACCCAACCCAATTCCTCCCACCTATCCAAACTGACTCAAAAACCAGGCAGTCCCTTTCCATGTTCATTTCGCAGTGCTCATGAATCCTCCTTCACGCTTCTGTTCTTACACCAGATACTGTGGCACATTGAGTGGGCGTGTACGTATGCACACACATGCACGCACACTGCTGTGGGAGAAAACCAATGCATATGAATGAGAAGATCTTCCCGTTTGGATCATTAAGTCTGGCCACACTGCCAGACATAGGCCTCAAAAAGGGGAGGAGTGACTCTGAATGATCTCTTCATTATCCTGACCTTTGTGATGCTTAAGTGTTTGCTCTCCATATTCCTCACAACAGCCTAAAGACCAAGAAGACAACAGTGGATATAGTGAAACCGATCACATCTAGTTTTCCATCTTGTGAGACAAAAGGACTCAAAGGTAATTTACAAGAGGAGGTTTCTGTTGTTCTGTTGTGCCTTATTAGTTTTGACTTAGTTCCTGACAGTCTTCCTTGCGTCCACTTCAGAGGCAAACAAGCTAAGCGTGTAAAGAAGAAAGAGCAAAAGGATCTATATCTATGCAGGATTCTTTTCCTCTGATCCCTGGAGAGAAGTGTTGCCTTTGCCTTTTCAGAGAAAAGCAGACACCTTGCAGCTGCTACTGGGACTAAGGGAGTTAAGGTCAGACATAATAAGAAAACTTTGACTCGGGCAGACACTACCATTTCCCAAAGGAGAAATGCCTTCAGTAAGATGCACAGTACTGCAGACTTCTCTGTCCCCAAAATTCTGAGATGTATTGAGATCAAAAGGTAGGCAGAAGAGGCTGAGCCCTCTGAAGAGTGTCTGGCAAGACAGGCTCTCTCCAAGGGAAGAGATGATCCCTGGAAAACACTGGCTATCAACATATTGGATTAAAACTAGTGCCATATAGGCAGTAAGAGATAAAGAAACAATAGGGAACACAGAGGTTGAGTAGCATGGTCCAGTGGAGAGAAAGGGCCAGGAATTGCAGTACCTGAGTCCTTTGCCAGACTGTTTAAGCTTTATCTTCTTAAATGCTCTGAGCCATGTTGCCAGCTCTGGTGCCAACATAGCTTTTAATTCCGAGTAAATAATTTAGCCTTTCTCTGCATTCAGCTTTGCTGTCAACTGAATAAACCTGACACTGCTGCCCTGCTGGGGATTACATGGTGCACAAGCTTGGGCAGGTCTTCTGCACCGAAGTTAATCGTACCCCCTTCTGTGACTTTCACACCATGCCATGAGACTGTGGCATCTGTTGTATTCTGGTGCTGGAGCCTGATCTGTATCAGTACTCAGAGGAGAGTGGACTCTTCTCTTTCCTTGTGTGTAATAGAAGGAATTCACCTCTTTGTGAATACGTGAAATTTGCTGTTAGACAATAGAAATCAATGCTTGTGTTTTCTAAAGCACGCAGTTCTTTGACTGCCTGTCCCTTACGCACAAAGCTGCAAATGCTGCTTTCATTCACGTATTTCTTCCGTGCTTTTGAATGGAGTAATTTTTCTTTCTTGCAGGACTCCTGAGCTGCCCTACATTATCCTAAATTGATAGTCACTCTCACAGACATCAGCAAATAGAAATCTACAGACTTGGCAGAAGAAACAAGGTTATCCCCAATGTATCTCAGAAAAAGTGTTTTTTCTCCCTAGCAAATGTATAAAGCATGTTTCATGTCAAAAATAGACACACACACAGTTATGATTAACAAACTGTAAATTTACCATTTCCCTTTGTTTAAAGTTGCTTCCACGGAAAGAACACATCAAAAATAATAGTGCAGGTCCACTTCTAAAACCTGCCAACTCACCAATCAACAGACATACACTTTCTAAGACCACCTGTGTGCAAGCTGCATGGCTCCTCCACTGCAGAGGCAGCAGGGAAGTGACAGGAACCAAGGTCCTGTTTAGTGATCTCTTCAGTCTCAAGCCCTTTTGCAACTACAAATTCACAGGTTAAGGATAAGATTTTCCAAAGTAGACTAATTGTAGAGGAAACATCCAGAATTGTTAGCTACTTTTGAAAGTCTTGCAAGTAAATGCAACACTCTACTGTACATGACTGCTAGGTAGTTGACGTTTCAGAATACTTTGACCAAGTCATCTTTATCTTGATCCTTCAGAGAGTCAGACGTGCTTTACCTGGGGACAGCTCTTGCTCTTAAGTGCAATCTTAGTTTTTGTTTTTACATAACCCTGTGTATCTGCTGATCTCAGAGTACCTACAGAAGGACAGTATGTCATTAGTCTGTTACCATGACAGAAACATACACAGGATAACACTGCTTAAGTGTGATGGCCAACGACCAAATGACCAGCAAACAAGCAAGGCACTGAGCTAGGCTCTACCCTGTTCACAAAATGTGAAAAAGCTCATGAAACAGAAGACATCACAGTTGGTTCTAAATAAAATAATCTCAAGTTTGTTATATGCTAACCTACCTGGAGAGAGGAATTTAGAGTCTCTGGGAAACAACTGTGTTGTAGGTATTAATGCTGTAGTCTCTGGTACAAAGAGGCCTGGGCAGTGAGCTGGAGAGAATGGATGAAGTGTGCTAGGAATTCTCTTTTAATAGAGAAAGTGTCCAGTAAAAAAAAGAAGTCTAGTAAGACACATAGCTTAGCTTAGTTCCTATTGCCAGCTCAGTTTCAAACCTACTGATTACAGAAGCAGAAGCCCCACTCATCTCAAGTGCTTCTGCATGGCCAGAGCTCCTTTCTGCTAGTCCTAAGCACTTCTTAAGACTACCTCTGCCATCAGAAGAGATCAGAACAGCTGATATAAGGTCCTTCAGACCTCAAATTCTATTAAAAAAAAAAAAAAAAAAAAAAAGGAGG